ATATATATATATATATATAATATATATATAATGGCTGAAAATTAAACCAAAAATACTTAATATTTGATTCAAAGTCGTTGTTTAAATGTTCGTTTGATTTGTTAGCATAACTCTCCAAACTTATTGACAACCTTCAAATGTACAAACATGAACATCATTACGATTGATTTATGACTTAATAAGGATAAGAGAAGGGTATACACAAGCAGCAAGCAAATGATAATGTGTCCGTCCTTGGGTATATAGATACATACAATTTGTTGTAAATTTGATCTGGTGTAAATTGCACGGGACTAATTATGTAGAGCGAATTTCGTCTAACATTAGCATATTTTTGGTTCTACTTACTCTATCAATTAAGCCATGCCGAGATTAAAAAAATAAATAAGTCTATTGAAGAGTTCCGTAGGACAGTCGTTTTAAAAAGAAAGAATGGAAGGAAGTTGTTAATTTAAAAAATGAGCTTAAAAGTTTGTCTTTAATTGGTTGGTGGTGTTAGTAATTTTTGTTTTTATTAATCTTTTTATCACTAAGTTATGTATATTTTATATGAGGATCATTTAAAAAGGAGGCATGACGTCACCCACATGCTCGCCAATTTTTGTTCACCAAACTTGACTTTCATATATCTCAAAATTATTTATATTAATTATTGATAATTAATAAATTCATAATAGGCCAACATAATCGGAAAATATCCATATTAAAAAGAAATTAAGTGTCTTGGTTAGAATATTTATTTGATTTTTTTTCACTATATATAATATAAATTTTTCCATATTATTAAAAAAAATTAACAAATCAATTACTCGAATTTCATCCAATTAAATTTCGTACATCCAACTTTTGACCCTTTGGCAATGGTCTGTGAGTACGGAACATTTGGACAATTTAAGGGCATGCGTCAACTTAAATATGTTTGGATGACACTTTAATTATTTTTTTTTTGATTAAAGTAGTTAATGATTAACTTTACTAATTAATGTACACCTAATAATTGAAACATATTGTATTCTCCAATTATTATCACAGCTAACATTTTTTTAGTAATCGTGGAGCCTTTGGCGGCTGTAAATTTGTACTACTAATATATATATTATAAATACTTCTTTATACGTGGAAAAGATACATAAAAGAATCCAATCCGTAAAAGTATCTAGTTGCTGAAGTAAGAGAGTGTCGAATTAATTCGAGTTTAAAGATTTATCTAGATCACTTATATGATGGTTAATAACTGGAAGATTAATTAATGTTGACAAAGCCAAAACAAATTAGAAAACAAAAGCTACTTAACTGAAAACCACTAATCACAAAACAACAGCTAATTAACTGGAATGTAGTAATTAATCACAATGCCTTTTAAGTAAGAAACCACATGCCTAGATTAAAAATAACTGCAATTTATTTGATTTTATTTTTTCAAGAGAAGAAAAGTTGTTGATTAATGGCATCCCAAGATAGCATTGGATGGTCAATACTCTCAACCCATTGCTCGTGATTGGTAATTGTCGATTCTTCGCCTCCCGTTGAGTTGTGATAATTATTAGTACTCACTGAATTTTGTTCCGAACAGAACAAAGGGGTGTAACAAGAAGCTGTTGAAGGGAAATTAGAACTATAATTATTAGTTTCTTGATTTGTAGACATGATCCACAAATAATCCATGTCCGTCATGCTTGTACAAATATTCGTTTCATGGTCGTCGTAGTTATTCATCAGGTGATGAACACTATTTTGACCATCACGACTTTCTTTTGTTGATTCTTCTTCTGCTGCTGCTGGTTGTATTTGATCGCCTTTTCCAGGCCTGGAAATCTCGACAACTAGTTCATCATTATTCTGATCGGTATTATTTGACGAGGAGTGGTCATTTACTAACGATTGTTGCTGCTTTAGCCTCTTCTTGATTCGAGTGTTCCAATGGTTCTTGATTTCGTTATCCGTTCGCCCTGGGAAATGAGACGCAATCTTAGACCACCTGCATATACGCGACACATACATCATTATTAAATAATGAACCACATTTTAGTTAATGGAACAAGATTTTTTAAACCGACAACCAAAAAAAATCGGAAAACGAACCTATTACCAAGGCGTGCATGAAGCTCTATGATCTGATTCTCTTCGATTTCTGTTAGGGCCCCTCTTTTGAGGTCCGGCCTCAGATAATTAATCCATCTTAATCTGCAACTCTTTCCACATCTTAATAAACCTGCAATGCATCATTATTATTATTTATATATATGCATGCTAGAGAAAAGAAGGTGGATTAATTAAGAAAAGAAGTAATTAACCTGCAAGCTTAGGAACCATTCGCCAGCATTGAATGCCGTTATTGAGAATAAAGGTCATGAGCTTATGGTCTTCTTCTATAGTCCATGGACCTCTCTTCAGACCAATTTTGTCACAACAAGGTTGTCTCCCCATTTCCTTTTCTTTTTCTTCTTCTTGGTATTCTAATTAGGACAAGTTTTGATGCTGAAAACTTGCTTTGAAGGAGTTGTTATTATAGTATTTGAAACAAGTTTTTGACATAAATTAATAATGAAAGGTTAATGTACATGATTGAATAATGGAAAAAGGCCTAAATGTAAAGCAAAGATTGATGGTATGAAGTATTATAAAATGGCACCATGGCCGGTTTTGTTGAGATAAACATAAAATTAATCTTGTTTTAGGAGGAATTGTATTAATTTATTACATAAAGAAAGGGAGCAATATAATGAATGTATGGATAAAGAGATACTTAGTTGACAAATTGGTAATTATGAAACCAAAAAGAAAAGAAAAGAAAAGAAAAGTGCAGGTTGAGGGGTGTTTATGTTTAATTAATGAATATTAGTTTAACTAAGGTAGCAAAAACTAAAATGGTGAGATTCCCTTTGGTGGTATCAAAGCTGGCTAGTTTTGTCGTTGTAGGCACCAAAAACTCTTTTCTTTAGTTACTTCCAAAATCTCTTATGATTCTCTTCTTTCTTTTTTTTCCGAATAAGAAAATAGTTGAAACGCCCATACAAAAAATCGCATACATAGCAGCTGCTATAAAGTATCGGTGGTGAAGTATCGGTGATCGCAGGGATAGTAGCACGGAGAGAAAGGAGAGCTGAAGTACATGGACGATGACTTGGATGATATGAGCGTTTTTTGTTGGTTCTACGGGCCATGGCTTAGTCATCGAAGATAAGGACGAAATGGTCATTAATAATGTGGATTCGATCTATTTCACGGACACAAATGAACTCACTCGTTCACCTTGCGATAAAGCACCTAAAACGTACGGTGGACATGATATAAGCATCTTTAATTACGAAAGACATGACTTCATATGAATGCTACTATACTTGTAATGATATCACACATATTCGAGCATGGTTCATGCTATTATCCCCGCCTCTCACTTTAATACAAACTTTTCCTTTATGCCCGTTTTTTCTTTCGTTTGACTCGAGTTTGAATAATCTTGCCAACGCTTTGTAGGAGTCGATTAAAAAAATAAAAAAATTAGGATCATAATAAATAAGGCAAAGATTTGTAGGGCTAGTGAAACAAAAAAAGCCCAATAAGAGTAAATGGGCAATTTAGAATGGGAATAGTTATTGGGCCATTATATGATTATTGACGAGAAAGAATATCGCGGCGGTTGATGGGTCCCACAAATAATAATAAGCTGGCAAATATAGAAAAATCTTCTTCAGTTTATGAATCGGTTTCTTCTGGTGAAATGCGATACAGTGCAGTATATATATGATAATATTTGATGTAGCAAATTGTAGGATCATTTAAAAATATATACGTATATGGAAATGCAATATTAAATAAAATAAGTTCCAAAAATAAACGGTATTCGAGTTGGACAAACCGACATACTACATTCTCTACTGCAAATAGCTACATAAAATAATCAACTAACCTACCGCAGAATTATTTAGGATGAACGATCAGAGCGCTGACTAATTACAAATTCAGACGACACACCTATTAAGAATTTAATTAGTAATAAATTAATAAGATAAAACATGAGCAAGGCCAAATTAACATATTCCTGTCGCTGTTGTGCTCTATTATTATTATTATTAATTATTATGATTTATGTGGAGATTTCGAGCACGCAATAGAATTTTCAAAGCCACTACTCAGCCACCCAAACCCCATGACTAAATATTCACCACCATTAATTAATTCATTCATTAATTAATTACCCGAAACCATTCTCTCTGCAGCTAGCTAATACAAAGAAATAAGAAACAGAGTTGAAACACAAGAGAGTAGTAGAACTGTCTGCAGAGATAATTAATTAAAATTCTAATACTACTAATAATATTGATATATGGAATAAACATATTTAGAAATTTGAATTGGATTCGTCGTCGATGGGTTTCAAGGATCGAAAGAACCGGAGCTGTTTGCCCCGGCCTGTATTTCTCTTATGGTGCACCCTCGTCTTCCTCTTAGTTTCCGGCTTCACTTTCTCCACTCTCCGCCTTTTTTCCACTAGAGGTATATACTCCACCTTTGTTGTCGAATGTTCAATTTCTACGACTTTTTTTTTCTTTATGTGATTATCTTCGTAAATGTTTTTTTCTCTTCCATAAAACCATATTTTTAACAGAAAATATGTTGAATTTTAGCGTAAACATGCGTAAATAACGAAGTAAAACGTTTGGAATTTGAAGCAGAAGGATCTTACACGAGACTGGTATCCAAATTGAATATCCCGGCGATGGAAGTGAAGTCCGGCGATCACTCTGCAAACCCGAGCATCACAATTCGAGAAACAGTTATCTTCCCCGACCAGGTGTTGTTTTTCCTGAAATACCCTCCGTCGACTGCTTTAGTAACCAAAGACGACCTCAACTGCGTGTATACACCCCCCAACTCATCGGCGCAGCCCCTGCTCGACGTCACTCCGTCATCAATCGAAAGTGGGTCGTACGACAAGAACCACCACCAGATTGTACGGTGCCCGCTCGATCCACGTGGCGGGATCGTGTCCCTTGCGGTTAAGCACAACCACGGTAACAACCTCTCATCGGGCCCCACATACAGATGGAATTCCCTAGCTTACGAAGCCATGATTGATCAACAAGACAACTCAACAATTGTTTTCGTCAAAGGACTTAATCTAGGATCAGGAAAATCAGCTAACCCTTCAAAGTTCAAATGCATCTACGGCTCTCATTTAACCGGCTCAAATAACTCTGCTCTGTGGGCCGACGCCGTTTCCGCCGCCCAAGAAATCGTCAGATGCAGAACCCCTCTCAGCGTACTAAACAACACCACTTCTAACGGTTCCGTTAAGGTTTCCGTTAAAGTCGCCGGAAGAAAAACCCTAGATTCCATCGCACGTGTGAAGAATCATCATCGTCATCGTCAATTAGGCCCTAAAAAAAAGCACAAAATCTGCGTTTGCACCATGCTGAGGAATCAAGCTCGTTTTTTGCCCGAGTGGTTCACCTACCACGCGAGCATCGGAATCCGAAATTGGTTCATATACGACAACAACAGCGACGACGAGATTGAGCGCGTGGTCGAATCGATGGCCGGAGAGAACCACAGCGTGACACGTGTGGTGTGGCCGTGGATCAAGAGCCAGGAGGCTGGGTTCGCGCACTGCGCGCTGCGGGCGAGGGATTCCTGCGAGTGGGTAGGGTTTATCGATGTCGACGAGTTCATTCATTTGCCCTCAAATTCATCCTTGCTCGATGTAATTGACAGTCAATCGAAGCTGCCTAGTAGTAGTAATAGTAGAGAAGTGGGTGAAATTAGGGTTTCCTGCCACGATTTCGGGCCGTCGGGGCTGAAAGAGATGCCGGCGAAGGGGGTGACGGTGGGGTACACGTGCCGGATGGGCGCGCCGGAGAGGCACAAGAGCATAGTTCGGCCGGAGGCGTTGAATTCTTCGTTGATAAATTACGTACACCATTTCCAACTGAAGGCGGGATTCAGAGTAGTGAATTTGAACAGAAGAGAGGTGGTGATAAACCATTACAAGTATCAGGTGTGGGCGGTGTTCAAGGAGAAGTTTTATAGGAGGGTGGCTGCTTACGTGTCCGATTGGCAGGAGAAGACAAATGTGGGGTCCAAGGACCGGACACCCGGTCTGGGAACCAAACCGGTTGAGCCGGCTGATTGGTCCAGTAGGTTCTGCGAGGTCAACGATACTGGATTGAGGAATCGGGTACTCGAGACTTTTACTGACCCGAAAACCGGCTTATTACCATGGGAATGATTAATGAATATAATCAGCTGAATGAGGGCTTATTTTTTTTAATTTTTTTGCAAATTAATTATTTATTTTTCTTTATATATTATTTTGTAAATTTGTTTATAAACTGAAAAGATTTGTATATTTTGTTTTTCTACTGAAAAGAGATGATAATGTGAATTTGTTTGCTGAAATTGATGGTAATGTGTTCAAAACAATTGAATAGAAAGATTGTTTAGGAAAAGACATTATAAAATAATTTAAACTGATAAATAATATTTTTGAAGTTTTTAAAATATATTTTATAATAACAAAAAAAAAAAAGCCGATTTGACCAGTTGAGACGGAGGAGGTCCACAGTAAGTAAAATGCAGCCGCAACACCAGATCAGGCCCCCTGACTAGCCGTTACATTCCAAAAAGAAAAATATGACCGTTGCGACCCATCTGTTCGTTCTTCTTGTCCCAAAAACCGAGCAATATTTCTCGGAAACCCTATTGTAAAAGCTTCAAGAAAACGATGGATTCAGAGGGCCCGATCAAAAGCCCGGAAAATCAATCAAAGAAAGAGGCAGAAATAAACGAAAATGGTCAGAAAAATGAAAACTTGTTCAGTCCAAGGTTTAGATCGGTGGCGGCAATGGCTGGTTGGGATGAAGAGGCCCTTCTGATTGCAAGCCTCATCGTAGAAGACACCCCCGATCGACAGTTCAAACAGAAGAGAAGATCCGATTTGCAGAGTTTTAAAACCCCACCCACAAATTCAAGAAGGTATGATCATATTCTTTATATATATATATATATATATATATATATATATATATATATATATATATATATATATATTCTTTATATATGATATGCATGTATTCTTAAACATCGATTCTGTGTTTTAGAGAATTTTTTTAAATTAAGAATTTTTTTTTCCTTTTCCTATTTATTAAGCATATGATTACAAATCAAGTTTCATGTTTGTGTGCGCACATGTTCTTTGAGGGCTTTGGTTTTCTTGTTCCCCAACTGGTTTTTTTTTTTTTTTTTTTTTTTATAATTATTTTTAATCGAAAAACGCCCGAAAAGGGACTTGGTCGAAAATAACTGAATCGAATATTTGACCCTACTGGTTTCTGGTTATGGAAGTAAACAAGTGCTCTATGTGTTTTATTGATGTTGTTTCCTCAAATGGAATAGCTTCGATTATTCGGTTATTTAATTTGGATGTTAAAGTTGGGGTATCTACAGAAAACGAAAGGCTCAGAAGAGAAGTCCTGCACCGGTTGTTGTTCTTAATCTTGATGAAGATGACTCAAATTCAAAACAAGGTTCTTTGTTTATTTTCCCCTTTTTTCTTCTTTCATTTTACGCCTCAATTCGATTTTTTTCTTACATCTTTTGCTTTACGAAAATTGACAGAGGATGAGAAAATAAACAAGGAAGCAAATATCACTGAAGAAGTAGAGAAGAAGCAAGGAGATGATGAAGTGAACACCAAAGGAAGCAGTGTCTCCGGTTCGATTCCCGCAATTCCGTGCATTGATCGGCTTCGGGAGGAGCTTTCCTGTGCTGTAAGAAGAGAATTACTCCATTATTCTTTTTTTTTTTGGTTATATAAATGTGCCTATCGTCTAACTTGAATCAACTTGGCAGATTTGTTTGGAGATATGCTACGAGCCGAGTACCACGCCTTGTGGACACAGGTAATAAAAAATTACAAATTATATGATTTTTTTTGTCTGTTACTTTTGCATGAGAATGATTTATATTTCTGTCTTTGTAGTTTTTGTAAGAAATGTTTACGATCGGCGGCTGATAGATGTGGGAAGAAGTGTCCTAAATGCAGGCAGCTTATCAGGTTCATCTTTTGATCACTCACTCGTATTTTCTGTTTTAATTAATGATTTGATATTAGAGACTGATTATTGTATAATACGAAATCTCGACAGCAATAGCAGATACTGCACAGTGAACACAGTTCTTTGGAACACAATTCAGCTGTTGTTTCCACAGGAAGTAGAAGCAAGAAAGCTGGCCGATTCTTCATCTTCCTCGGATAATCAAGAACCTAAAAAGGAAAGTCCACCAAAAACGAGAAGTCGTCATTACACACGAAACAGAGGTGTTGAAGCCTTAAATAGCCCACCGTCTGAAAACAGGGATCAAGACAGAAGAACTCAACGTATCAGAAACCGGAGTTTACGTGCTTCTTCTGCTAGTACAACAACAACAACAACAAGGGTAGAATTGCCAATTCAGGATGAGGATGCTGCATTGGCATTAAGATTGCAGAGGGAAGAATTTATGGAGGCGTTTAGGGTACCACAACGACAACCGGAGGATGATTCTAGAAACTCGTTTGGTGTAGCTAGGGCTAATTTGAGGGCGATGGCTTCTAGGGCTATTAACATTCGAATCAGAGGAAGAAATGGCTACTAGACAAAGTGCTGTTCTTGATCAATGTATATGTGTTGATCCTTTTAAAACTGGGATTTGTGAATGTTAATTAGGTGCACGAGGTTTTCTATATACGTACGTTGACTTCCATATAGATTCTAAATATAAGGTTCTTGTCTTTCCAGAATCAATCGTATATTTTGAAAAACTAGAATATTATATATGCCCACGGACAAGCCAATAAAGTAGTTGAACATACCAAATAAAGCAAAAGAGATCCTTTAAGACGAAAAAAAAATGCCTACCACTGAGAAAAACGAAATGCTGGAGCTCGATCCCAAGTCCGGTGTTGCTCTGAAGCCAACAACAAAAGACGAAATCAACGAGACAGCACCCATGTTATCAGAGCATAGCTTGTTGTATAGTTCCTACAAAAGAAAACCTGCGGAATAGAGGTATTAGTTTATCTGTGGAAATTTCTCCGAAACGGAGTTTTTAAATCTAACGACTTTGCAATACCAATTCACCACTAGTTGTGGCAGATTTAGTAAACATTATTTTGGTATTGATTGTTCTTCTACTGCAAGGAATTTGGTTGGCTAGGAATAAGAAAAAAATTCTACAACACCTTACATAACATATTATACAGATTAATTTACCAAATTATAAACGAATAACATGACAATACCTACCAGAGTTTATATGCCGAAAACAAAAAGAATAGGAATAAACTAGGAGTCTAGTACACAAATCAATTGAAGATCCTTACTAGAAAACACATAAAAAATAATAAAAAAAAAAAAAGAGAGAGAGAGAGAGACCTTGGAAGAAGTACATAAAAATGAAATAAATTAAAGCTGCTAATATTCGCAACATTCTAAAGAGGGGATGAGGATGGAGTGAACCGCATTGGTTCGGGGCGAATCCTCTTGACTTTCTGAATATCACAGGGATAGTAGCATGGAGAGAAAGTCCTGTCTCTGTAATGAAAGATGCCTATATCGTGGCCACCGTATGCGTCCCGTTTATCCCAATATGCTGGAGTGTAACACATTGGGTCGGTGTAATATATTGAATTCGGCTTCAGATTCACCGCGTCGGGGGACTCCACCACAAAACCATGTCCTTTAGAACCAATGAAGAATGCCATACCATCCAGTGTACCATCCATGTACTTGAACTCTCCTCTCTCTATATCGATTTCATGAACATCAAAACCGACAGTCTTGTAAGGAACGGTATCTGCTAAAACATTCTTTTCAAAGAGACCAAAGGTACCACGGGTTCAGCTTGTAGGTTACTTGGACAGGGGAACCATCAGGGCCCATGTGTTCCAATATATGGAACCGTACAAGAAATAGTTGATTGGAATGCTCTGCGGATACTAGGTGTTTCCTCGAGAAGATTTCTTGGTATCGGCCATCCCGTGGGTAGTTTTTGAAGTCATCCCCCGTCTTCTTCCAATTCAATTTTGGAGACATAGGGTTTCCAAGATCCCAAATTTCAAAGTCGGCGTAGTGGAGTAGACGAAATCTTCGTAAGCCCGTACTATACGAGCATCCCAATGAAACACGTTGATTTTCTCGTTTTCGTGAAAGTGAGAGCCGAAAGGAGTCCACTTAGTACTTTGTCCTGGGCAGCAGAATGCCATATTGCTTCTTGGACCAAAACACAAAATTGCACGGCAATCGTGTTCGGCTTCATCCGGAGAGCATGAAAGGATGACCTTGAGTGGTCTACCCCAACAGTCTCTCAATTTCTCTTCCGCAAGAGGAATTGTTTCGACAGATGGGAGCTTAATGTGACGATGAGAGAGTGGATTGTACAGAAACAGATCCAAATTGGACGGAGTCTTATAAAAAGCTAGCCAACCATGTGAAGATCCAACCAAAACTGCCAATCTCTCAAAATGTAGGTTTAAGTTGTCAAATCCTATAGTGCTTATTTTGCTCACACTTATAACTTTGTTAACCGCCAGGCTGTAGAAATTATAAGACATCTTACCACCCACTCCAAAACAAGTTACCACTGTCTTCAAAGGTTGGTGGCAGCATAAGCCACGGCGTCGGTGAGGATATTCGACCGGAAAGGCTGCTCATTGGAGATCGATCGGAAACGGTGCACATCGGAGAACCCACAAAATTGGGATATCTAGATTTCCGACAAACCCAATTACCCGATGGCCGATACCGCTTGCCGGTAAATCGAGCGGAGTATGGAAGAAGCCATTGTTTTTGTTAATCCACTTTTTCTCTGTCCTGTATTACATGTAGGGCGGAATGGGTGTTAACCTACGATAGGAATTCTAGTAAGGATTGAGACATAGCTTGGTTTGGACTTTGGGTTGGACCTTTCCATGACAAATGGGCCCACCAATTTTTATCAGACAATTCGGCTGATTATCTGTCATCCTGAAGCCGCCTGAGCATACGAGGTAAGCAATCATCGTCCTGTTTTCTGTACTATTCATCGTCTTCCTCCTCACGGAAGAAAGACGCTCCAACTTTTCGTGTTAACCTCCATGCTAGGGTTTCAGCCACCTTGAAAATAGTCGTCAACTATCGAGTATTTCGGACAATCGGCCGACAGCCGGCGAAGATATCCAAAGTGGCTGTCTTTGTCTTTCTTCTTCCGGCACCGCCGTTTCTATCGACCTTAATTCATTACACCGCTGCCGTGATAGAGCCACCAGTCCAGGGTGATTTGAACAATATAACCAAATTTCATCATTAGGGAGTAAGTAATTAACTCTAGTGTGTAAAAATGTAATAATCACACTTACTTTTTTGTCTACTGGGGAAATATGGTTGATTATTAACTATAATAATATACTTTTTTGTGAGTGATGATAATGCAACACAATTTATCAAGCATTTGGGTCAATATTAGTTAGTGAACACAGTTCTTCAGCTATTATTTCCAGAGGAAGTAGAAGCAACAAAGGTGGCTGATTCTTCATCTTCCTCGGACAGTCAAGAACCTAAAAAGGGAAGTCCACCAAAAACGAGAAGTCGTCATTACACACGAAACAGAGCTTTGGAACACAATGTAGGAGGGTTGGCTTTCAACTATTAGGAATAATAATGTCTTATCAAACATTGAATTCAGGGGATTTATATTTGACAATTCACCAGGTACTCCTATCAAAATTTCATTGTGAACAAGAAATACAACAGATTTTTACAAAAGAAAGAGTTATAAATGTCAATATCAATGTCTGTGGGAATGCTTTCTGCTCCTGTAATACGTCTCACCATTATTTCTGTACCTTGTCTGGATGATCCTAAATGTGAAGGACACTATTCCAATAACAGCCATTGCGTAAAATACCCTATACGGTGCTAATGCCAGTGCAGAAATAGAGGAATAATATCCAGCAAGGAGATAAGCAAAGCTTAGTCTGATTTCCAACCATGGAATGCCCGGGATTGGAAATAGGTAGAAATTGAACTCGGGCTTTGAATCACATAAACCGTGCAGAATGACACCAATGCAGAGTGCAGAATCCCAAAACCACGGAAAGCTTTGACCAATACCAATCCGCTGCAAATTAATATGTACGTTGTGAGTTCCCAGCAGTAAAAAACTAGAAAATTATGTCAAAAAGCTCAGGTTTTAAGTATTCCTTGCCAAGTGAAAAGGCCAAACGAAGCAAGTGCTGTAACTTTCTTTGAATGAAAAAATTGTGGTAAATAACATACCTGAAGCCAGGCCACGAGTGAAGGGACAAACATCAATGCTGCAAGCAAGTGTAAGACAAGCAAACCATGATGGTGGTGGAAGATCTCTAATTGTGTCTCACCATAGCTTCTTGTTGATTCAGGGCTACCAGTACAGGTCTCTTTTATAGGTGACAGATTGCTAGTATCACTGTCACCATTATTTCCAGATTCATAAAACTCACTGGTCTGGACATGGCTGCGAAATGAAGCCATAAAAAAACTGTTTACAAAGACACAAAATGAAACTTAGGTCGTATTACAAACAAACGAAAGAAAACTCTCAAAGCATTCTAGTGAAGGAGAAGTACACCTACCTGCACAAAGCACTGTGACAGTGTAAAGCGTGTGATAGAAGCAATACAAAGAGCCCCAGAGCTGGATGCACAAGACATACCAAGGCAATGGCAACCAACGATGTTATAATCAAATGATTCACCCTTAAAATCCTTATGACCTGCTCCAATAATGTTTTTTCAAGGAATATGAAATCAAGCTCGGATATTGAGTCTCACAAAGCAAAATGGAAGAATTAAGATAGAATTTCTGTAAAACATTAATTGTAATATTAGTAATATTATAGCAGTCAAGAACTTGAAAAGTATCTTTCTAGGGTATATACCATTTTCACAAATAGCAAGAAAATAACTAAAGCAGCATAAGCCTTCAATGTTTATGATTCAGGTTGCTAATTATGTCTTCACCGAGTGGAAAGTTACCTTAATAGATGCAAAGCTGGAGGACATATTGATGAACCATTGGAAAAAAGAAAAACAGAAACTCCCTTCACATACTTGCAACCTGAAAAATTGGATTATTTTAGCTTGTAATAGAAAATAAAGCTCAGCCCTAATCTTAATTGCTAGTTGAGTCATGAAACGAGAGAAATGTCTTGCACATTTGTATTTGCATGCAAGCGATTGAGTAAACACATGAATACGGAGACGCACATAAACAGAACTACTAACCGTTTTTTGATAAATACATGGGAAGTGCCAGCCATGTAGAAAAGCAATTGCGAAAGTAATATCAGCACGATTATCACCCCATTTGCAAAAACGTAGCAAAGTATCGAGACAATAGAGAAACTTATAATCGGGGGAAGTGATTTAGAGCTCAGGAAACAAAAGAGCACGGCAAACAAAATCGGAAATGTGGCAAGGAAGAAAAAGGGACTTGGCATTCTCAAGTTTGATTCAACTGCAGATAACACTGACTGTATGGGCCGATCAAGTTCCCATGCATATGCCTGCCGCATCAGAGCGAAAAATGCAACAGCGACGCAGAGACCGCTGATCTGCATGGAGTTAGTAATTAGATCCATCGTGAAATTACCAATCACAGTGAATATGAAGCTCAATAATTATTATTGATGATGGGTAAATAGTTCTTCAATTATATTACTAGTGCCTGTGTTACCTTAAGGCTTGAGAAAAGTATTAAGACGTATACTACATCGCCAAATGTGCATGTCCAAACCAATTTGAAGCTTTTACTCAATAAGGTAAAAGGTAGTATCTCATGGAAAGTCGTCCAATGAAAGGAATATTAATACAAAGGAACTGAGCTTGACCATTAAATGATTGGACTCAAATGCAAAGTACTGAACAGTTTCCACTTCTAGAAATCGGAATGTACTATAAACATGCTAAATCCAACTGAAAAACATCAGTTTTGAGAAGGGTCGGCGGTAACAAGATATTAACCTGGGAGAAGTATAAGAGCAAGAATCTGCCAGCAGCCGCAGTGAGTGGAACACCAGCAGTAGTTCTGTAAGAGCAATGTGGGTCCACCTGTAGAGAATTGCAGAGACAAAAAAAGTTACCGAAAACAGTATATGAAGACACATTAGAAAATACCAAAATATTCATGTCCGCGCTGATGGGTAATAAATATAATTTTTAAGTTAGGTAATTATACCAATAGTAAAACAGTTGTCTTGTCAGATGCATGAGTTGAAGTCCAAAGTGCTGGAGAGGAATCCACGACAATTGTTTCGGAATACAAATTTGGAAATACATGGAGACCAGATGTCGCATCCCAAGCAAGTGCCACAGGTGGGAAACACCGACGCCTACAAAGTCCTGCATTCCAGGATCAGTTACCACAAGCAGAAAATGGAAACATATAAAGCAACAAGATTCAGAGTTCTATTTGTAGATGTCTATAGAAGCTTTTAATAGCTTTCAATTTAATAAGTAGTAAGCACATTATCTGTTCAATTACATCCAACAGTTACAGAAATAACCACTCAAACTCGCGACATAGGATGGATGTGAGAGAACACTTACTACTAGTTTCCACATCTTCTGTATCTTCAATAGGAAATTCAGACTTCTTAATTCCACAGCCAGTTGTTATGAGAGATAAAGAAACAGGAAGAAGGCCTAAGCTAACGGAGAATGTAAGATTGAGAGTAAGCGGATGATCTTCCTTCAAATTGTCATCCTGCTAGAAACCAAATTACACGATGAGCCACCATAGTGTTCAAGTTCCTTAACTTCAAAGGTTGCTAAGCTATACATCAAAATATTAACCTTATCCGTGAATAATGAATGAATCAACTTGTAAGGAGAGAATACTTGCTCTCCATCCTTTGGATTGAAAAATTGTCCAACTCCCATAGAAGCCGCTGGTGGAGGCCTCCCTGAAACAGTCTGAGAACAGGAAATCTCTTAATGCCGAGAAAGTAAGTAATGCCTAAAAAAGGTTAGCTGCTTATCAGGTTTATGAAAACTGCAAAAACTATGTAGGAGAAGGAAGAGTAATAGTCTTTCCCTTCCTGTACTTGATTCTGTCAAAAAAACCAAACTCAAACTAGTCTGACAGTTATCTTCATGAGAATCAAAAGCACGCTTAATTTACACTCTTGCATGAACATAAATTCAGGGATTTAAGAGAAAATACCGGTTGAGGTGCCACAGAGATTGTTATGAACCTGAAGCCATGCATATCCTCAGGACCCAACCAAAATACAGCGGATGGAGGAGCTTGCTCAGTTTGACTACCTGGCTCAATCTTCCAGAAGAAATGGACATGTTTAGAAAGGAGTATATAGATATTAGCTTATGAAAAGACTCTCTAGCGATGACTTTATACAACACAATACCTGCCTTGGAGCTGGTCCAGATGGAATGTGCACCATTTTTGTGGTGACTTCTACAACCCCTTTATTTGTTGCTGAAGCTGAAGTTCCCCTCTCTCGCCAAAGATGAAGCCGCACACCAGAACAAGGTGAAAGATTTGTGACAAAAACAAAGTGTTTTTTTCCACCTGGACCCTGAATATTAAAAGAGCTCTATATTGGTCATTAAGCTCCTCTTTCAGACACAAAAGAGATTTGCTTAGTTTTTATGTTTTTTAGGTCTCTTATAAACCAAATTGTATTAATTACAGTTGTCGCTGGCAAATAGAAAGTCTACAAACTTGCAGAATTGTCTAGATATATGAAGATATAGAAAAGTGATATCATACTCAGACCCTTCCACCACGACTCCCACCACCCATACCACCCCCGGGGCTCATAAAAGCCAAGAGTAGAAATTTTTTAACTCTCTAAATGAAACAAACCAGTTTTTGAATGTCCAACCATCGCCTTCTCCCATCCATGGCTAAAACAGTGACAGTACTAGTTTGAATGTAAAGGTCTCTTTCAAGTCCATCTTCACTCCACTGGCTATTACTTGGGCAACCAGAAATGGCAGGAACATGCGGTGCTGTTTTATTACAGTAAGATGTCAAAATAGGTATGATCAAGAAATATTAAACTAAGACAAAGTTAACCATCACACTATTTATTAGTATCCTCATCCCCAGAATTTTCAAAACCCCAAAAACTTGTCATGATTATATGGGATGCATCATATCAGCAGCAATACTTCCCCACGGTGTTTGACCATTTTATTTGTTAATGATTTATTTAGATTTAGATTTAGAGATTGTGCTAAACTTCTAATAGAGAATTTATAACTATACGAGGGGACTAAAGAGTGAGAAATGGCCGACCAAATGCAGCAAATAAAGTTCATATCAAACAATTCAACAAGCTTCTGTATGAAAGAAATAGGACTCAAGTAAAGAATACCATGAATCACTTTTCCCGTTTGAATAGGAAAAGGGTCGGACTTTTTTGGTTCTTGTAATGGCCTTGGTGCAAAGAAGTTCTGCGGGATTCCACTATGAAGCATTTTTGTAAATATTCCAAGTCTTTGATGTGCATCACTAAAAGGTTGACTTGTCTTTGTTTCTATCAGACTGAGGAGAGTGTGCGAGACCTAAAAAAGTGAATATGATTTTCAGGACCTTGTTGTAACACTAGTAGTTCCAGTAGAGCAATACGACTTACTTGCACAACTAGCTGATTACACCATAAGATGACCTGGTGCTCCATTGACAACCACACGTTCTTCATACCAGTACTGCTCATCATAAAGCCATGTGTAGGAGGAACAATACCATCAAGGGACTCTAACTTTGAGCGCACCTGGAACATAAACAAAACATGATCATCTATCGGATAATCAGTTCAAAGAACGATTGGTAAGTGGTGGCATAAATCATTTTACACCTTTGAGAGAACATATTATGGGGACACTTTTTAATTGTCATAGATACCAGGTCATAAAACAGGGAATTAAACTAGTTTCCAGAACACGATATCCACTTCATACTGAGGTAATTGAGTTTAGAATAAATGTCATGAAGCATGACCAGATTGTTGCGAAGAACTCATGCTCGCCAGAGAGCTCTAATTAGTACAAGTAGGTAAATAAAATACCAGTTTTATTCTTTCAAATGATATCACATAATCACAAGAAAAGTGGTTCTCTCCATTATAACAACTTCATAAGTTTCCCATGAACTCTTATCTCTCATTCTTTATAACAGTACAAGTAAATGCAAACATATGTCTACCTGGTAATCGTTATAACCACCAGAAATGGAGACAATGACGACATGAGAAAGTGGAGGATCAGATATGTAGAGTCCAGCTTGAGAGGTTTCAACCTCATATCCTTTCCTCCACGCTTGATTCACGTGTGTATAATAGTGGCCCAAAGATGGCTGCAACGCCACCGGAGGATACCTGGAGAAGAAAATAATAAAGATACTGACAACCGCACAGAGGTCAAAAACAGCTAAAGACGATAAGGATACTATGAGATTTACTGGTGTGGGGTGGAAAGGGTCAGAATAGTTTCAACAGCAAACTTTCTTAAATGAGGGTGCACTACTGCAGCCCTAGCAACAAAACCACCCATAGAGTGACCAACCAATATCACACTTTTAGGTAAACTGCCAGACACAGATGCGCCTTCTTTTGCTCTAGCATCACGAGATTCTTTATACTGATCCAGAATCTGCAATCATGAACATCACACAACAATTAATGGAAATCTCAGCAAACTTATGTTATAGAGAGAGAATACCCCATCACTAATAGAAGTTATAGTCCCTTCTTTTCTTCTTCACTAAACTTTTTCTTTAGATATTGTATGTATTGGTTTATTCTTTTAACATGGGGAACGTATTTTAAAGAGATAGAATAACCCCATTATCAACAAATGGTATATAACGTGAATTTTCTTTTCCAGTAACTTTTTCTTTGGATATTGTAGGTGCAGGCTATCCTGTAACATGATTGTCTGCCTGCCTGTGGGTGGCAATTATCAAACCTCAAATATATTTTACTTATAAAAAAAAGGTGGAAAAAGTGATACCCTGTGAATGGCATATACTACATATTCAGAGTGTTCTTGGAGTATCTGACCATCCATTGCAGAATGTTCACCTTCAAGATCCACTGCAAACCAATCCAGCATGGAAGCATATCGACTAGGTAATGAAATGTCGTTTAAATCGATATCCACTCGACCTCCCAAATTCGGGGAAGCTTGGTAAAAGTTCCAGTCAAGTGGACCTCCTTGATAAGCCCTATCAGATTCTGCACCCAGGGATCTAACCTGTGTAAATGCAGGTGAACATACATTTTTGAGCAATTAATTAGGACATGAATATAAAATGAAAACTACTATATTGATCCATCAATGATGCATTACTTTCTCCACTTGATCATGAATCTAAATGAAACTCAAATAATAATATACAGCTAATTCACTAACAAAATAGGAAGTTATGCAGGATGAAACATCCATTAAATGAAAAAATCCATGATCCGCCAATTAAAAACAAGAGGCTTGCCTGTTTGTAGCTTCCACCATTTCCAGGGATAAAAAGAACAGGAATACCATTAAGCTTTTTAAGATGATCATCAAAGTCGATCTTTCTCCAGCCTTCATGGTACAAATACAACCCATATTTCACAGAGGACACATTTTCCGGCGTTGAAATGGGAATATACGTGGGATACATATACGTCATGGCACAACCATTAGATATTGGTTTCAGTAAACCATAAAGACCTGCAAGGCCCATCCACATAGAAACGGCAACCACAATTGCTACTCTAGATTTCGTCTTGAAACTTTCCATGTCCACGCCACCTCTAAGTACCATCCTCGACATCATTTTCCAATCACCAGCTGCAAACGGAATCTGTCATCCTACATGAGCAATCAAAGATCAAACGAACCACTACGCTATGCAACCAGAATTCAAAGGAGAAAGGGAAGAAAAAATGATTCACACTCTCACACAAATAATTCCTGCTCCTATCAACTAAATTAATCGAATGCAAGCACCCAGCCAAGCACACTGAATTGAACATCCTATATAGTTTCGAACCAAATAGTAAAAACTATCATCCTACTCCAAACAAGTACAACTCGAAATTCGTAGGTTTCATCTTAAAATTAATTAAAAAAAAGCATAATGCAGACAAATTCACAGCTGAAACAACACTTGCACGAATTAAAAGCGAGAAAAGAAAAGAAGGAAGTTAAGCAAATCAATCGGCGGTTTACCTCAGAGAATGAGATCCAGTTGAGAGAAACTGTAGAGAGAACAGCAGAGCGGGTGTGAATTCGCGGAGCTAAAGTTAATCCGATGGCAGGGAATTTCGATTAATGGAAAGAATTATTATTAGGGTTTTTTGCAAAAACCACCCCTGTATAATCTTGAATTGCCGAAAAAGCATCCGTGTTAAAAAAATTAGCACATAACCCCCTGTGAAAATTAGTCAAAGCCAAAAAGGATCCTACAAGCTCAATGTGCGATGCACTCGCGGTTTGTGCGACTGGGAGTCTGATTTTTGACCTAAAAAGACCCAAATACCCTAACTCAACATTTTCGAAAATTACAAATTTATCCAGGATTTTTCACATGCCTAAAATGAAGTTTTTAGAATTTTCGATTCAGTCCCTAACAATTTCAGAAAAACCCTCTCTCCAAATTATATAGGACCAAATTGCAATTTTCATAATTTCTTAAAACCTAATCATCTCCCTTCTCCCTCTCCTTCTTCAGATCCACTCATTTGCTAAAAAAGAAAGGGGACGAAAATTCCAGGCCCCCCCCCCCCCCTCTCTCTCTAGAATTCCAGCCCATTTACAAAAGAAGTAAAAACAAAAAAAATTGCTTTCTCCCTGAAACCCGGCAGAAGACGAGGGCACTTCACATTGAAGATTTGGCAGATGAGAATTGGAAGAATTGTCCGTCCCTTCTCCGTTTCTCTAATGGTGGATCTGAATTAAAAATATTTTGAAGTAATTGTTTGAAGTGGGGCGGCGGGTGTGTTGGCAGTGGTGGTGCGACGGTGGAGGGTTGGATGGAAGAAAAGGAAGATGATGCCATGAGTTGAGCACCTGTGCGTGCTAAATGTTTTGTTCTTTATTCTTTCTTTTTTTCATTTTTTTAATTATTTTATTTTATGCATTTTATTTTTTTAAAATTAAAATATTATTAGTAATTTCATCTAACTTAGCAGCCAATTTCAGAAAAAGGGGCGATGTTCTTTATCAAACAAAACATAGGGGGGTATTTGCTAATTTTTATAATATGAGGACTTTTTTGGCTATTCAAGATTACACAGGGGGTTATGTGCAATTAGCTCTTATTATTATGTTTACTTCATTAATTAAGTAATACTGAAGAAATACAAAATTTAGTGTTCAAATTTTTTTAATCGAAAAAGCGGAAATGTTGGTCCAGTGGTGTTTTAAGTCGTGTTTGTTTCTTTTGGGGCGAGGCCAGAAGTCCTATTAAATCGCTTTTTTAAATAGTTTGTATCTTTGTCGCCACCTGAGCTGACGACACGTGTCATCAGATTTGGGCTGGGCCTGTTTGTGAGTACTGTTTAAGGAAGGTAAATCTTTTTGAGGTTTGATGTGGCCCATCAATTTAAATTCTACTTACATATTTATAGTAAGAATTTAAATTGTAGTTTGGGATGTATATGACACAATAGTAAGACATATTATTGTATTTAATTAAAAAAAAAAAAAAAGAGGTACATATGTATATATATATATTTTGGTAAATTACTGTCACCACTAAGGTACGATCAAAATACGAAAAAATTCCTCATGTTTGAGTAATACAATCACACATCAACTATGATTTTTTTTACACGTCCACTATTGTGGTGTCAAATTTAATAAAATCTTATAGATTATGTGAAATACTCTCCAATTTGTATACGTTTTACCACATTCGAGCTCTACATTTTAAAATAAGATTATCATAAGATATCTCTTGACTTGTAAATATCAGATGGTGGTTCATCATAAATTGCATTGCACAAAACGAGTACAGACTGAGATCATACTATAAAACCTAGAAAATTATATTAAATTTGACACCATAAAAATAAACGTGTAAGAAGATTCATAGTTGAGTAGTGATTAATTATGATTACCCAAATAGAAGAATTTTTGTTTGTAATTTGACCTTATTTCAGGATAGTAATTAATCATATACTTTAATGCATTTCACGACAGAGATCAAGAAAAAATAATAATAAATATAAATTATGGTGTACCACCACTACTTGATGTCTAGGTTAAAAAATGTCATCTTTATTCTAGTGACAATAAGGTAAATACAAAGGTAACAACAAAGCATTCACTTTAATGAAAAAGTTGAAGACAAAACTCGGTTGCAACCTGAAAAATGACTTCAACACAATCATTTCTTCCACTATACATCGTATAACCATTAGTACACTACAAAAAAACGATAATATACAGTCAGTTCGTACAACCCATCAAAAAAAGAAACCGCAATATTATTACATCTTAATATATTAAAAAAAAAAAAAAAAAAAAAAATTTGTAGCTAAAGTCAATAGGAGAACTCGTGACCTCGAAGAGAGATATGTTTCTTGACCCAAATAGCAATATCCTCGGCACAAGCCTGAGCTTGAGGGGTCTTCAAAAGCATATCAAGCGTTGCAAATTCATGAACCGCGTCTTTGTACTCAAGAACCGGAGCATCCACATTTACCTTACGGAGCTCCTCTGAGTAAGCAATTGCCCTATCTCTCATCCAATCGTGTTCCGCCACAACTGTCAGTGTTGGAGGCATTTGTTTCAGAGGAGGTCCTTGTCTGTCTGACGAGAGTGGGTTTGCAGCAGGGTGATCGAGGCTGAAATCATCCTCGGACAAGAAAAGTTTCCACGAGAGCATGCACATTGCCTTGTCGTAGAAGTATGAGTTTGCTAGTTTTATTTCCGAATGTGTTGGCACACTTCCGATGAAGAAAGGGTACACTAAAACCTGGGCGACCACCTTTACTGGGTCCAAAAGCTTGCCAGCTTCAACAGCTTTTCTTGTCATGTAATCAGCAATGTTTCCTCCACAACTCACTCCAAGAAGTACACACCTGCAATAGTATACAAGTAGAGATAGAAATAATTCAGGAAGATTCATTGTGGAACACATTCAGATAGAGATGAAACAAGTACCGGCAATATAATAAATTCTGTGATTAGAAAGATGTCAAATGCGACAGCTTAGCAACATAACAAGTTTTTCCTTGATCGTTGACATTATCTAAGGGTATATGTAGTAGTTTACACACACAGTAATGCAGGCCTTCATATTTGTAAGTTTCTTTTTTTGTGGTTAAACCGTGGTCGCCCTTAAACGAACAATTCAGGATATTTGGTTTGAGAAAAGTCCAAGGGTGAAAGGGTAGTTGGATGATTTTTCTGTCACCATAAAAGCCTATGACGAATGCTAATGCCACGCAGGACAGAGTTCTATTTGCTTCCTCTGCCAGGTTTGTGACCATAACATTGCATTTGACACCTACCACTTGTTAAAATGTTTTAAATGGACAACCCTTGAATCAATACCTTGTGAGCACAAAGCCGGAAACTGAAAATAGTAATCGCACATAATCCACATTCTCAGAATATTGAGAGCACAATAAGCATGCACTCGTGATAAGATCAATTAGTGAACAAGCTCAGCAAAGTTCTTCAAGAAAAAGCAAAATAGAAGTTCTATTATGGTTATCATAAAATAGAATTGGTTCCAAGAAAATATAGGATATGATACCCAAGAACCACTGCTGCCTAACCGCATCAGCTTCCGAATTGTTTATGGAAAAAACGCAACACAATCTAGTATCCATAGAAACCAATTTCTTTCGATTTTCGCATCATTCATGACACTGATAATTGATTACTTAACAGCTAAATGGAAACCAGATGAAAACTAGGAATCCAAAGAAACCGACACAAAAAAATCCATCTCCATCATAAATATTTACTCAGTGAGTAGCGAGAACACATATGTTTCCATATCAGAAAAAATCAACACAAAATAATCCCACATCGAATACCAATATCAAAAGCAACGAATGAGTGATCGAAACAAACCTCGACGGGTCCCCATGAGCAGCCAACCAAGGCTCGACCATAGAAGCTCCAAAAGCATTAGCAACGTGTCCATTACCCTCTGACCTCCTCAAATCTCCCCTTCCTACCCTCCCCAAAGACTTACTACATTCAGCCAAATTCGACTGCTTCGCCAGCCAATACAGCACCTTCAGCCCATCTTCAAAAGCTGCAGGGTACTTATTCTCCGGTGCCAACCTATAACCCACAGCCACCACAATCACATCGCACAATTTCGCAATCCGCCTACAGAAAAAATCATTAGACGACGAATCATTGCTCCCGCTAACAAATCCTCCACCGTGAATTTGCAACATCACAGGCAATCTGCGGCAGTTATTCCCAACCGGATTATAACCTCTGTAATCAATACTACCTCCGTTGCTGCTTCTTCTGAAACCATTATCGATTTTTGAAGCACGATTACCAACTATACCTTCATTGCTGCTGGAAACAAACTCATCCTTCGAAGATCCATCGCTGTGGCGACGAATTGGTACCTGATTTCTATCGGATCCGGAATTAAATATCCCGATACGGGATCTGGTTTTGGAGTCGGGAAAATAAAGGCAGGTGTCGGGGAGAAATATACGAATTGAGAGAGATGTTAAAGGATCGATATGTATGTCTTTTGTGGCGACGCCGTCGGTGAAGGAAGGATTGGCGGCGGCGGCGGTCTCCTCCTCGGGGCGTGACGTCACCCCAAACGTACCACCGGCGTCGACAGCGTCATTTTCGAGTCCCTGTAATCGGTTCTGCAACCGATGCTTTAGCATAAGCTTGAAAAAAACGCTGTATAATTTAACGCCAATGCTTGGCATTTTCCACGGAAAATATATATTTATACGCACACCCAATTTCTACAATTCTTCGTACATTCGAACGATGAAGAAGAAGAAGAGAAACGGATGATCGTTAAAATTCAAACCTGGCGGTGCGAATCGAGGATTTCACATTGGAGAAATTAGGTCAGTTTTTTCAGGAAAAAATTTGGAAAAATCCCAATTTTTCCGATGAGCTTGGATGGAGAGAGAGAGAGAGGTGGGATTGTACTGTGTTCTGTGAATTACGATATAAATCATTAATTTGTAATTAATTAATAACTAACAAAAGTATTAAATTAATAATGGTAATGGAATAGTAGGATCATCAACTCAGCTTAACACTTTTGACCCCTCGTTGAAAATAGATTTATTTATTTATTTATGAATTTAATATATCGCAAAGGTCAAATTTATTTTTAATCAATATATAAAAATAATAATCTATGAGATATAAGTAGGGAAAATTAAATTTAATTTTGATAAGTAGCCACTTATTAAGTATAGTAATTTTCTTCTGCATATCAACTTTTTTTCATTTTTTTCCTGAATAAAGATCAGATCCTGTAATTTGCAAATCATGCGAAAATATATAAATCGCACTGAACTTAAACAGTGTGTAATAAACTCGACCTGGTCAGCGTTAGCAAGAAAATTCGAACTTGGGCTATAATGAAACATACACATACATCTCAAATTAGAGAACATTAAATAAAAGACCAATTCAAAAATTCTCTTGCTTATAACACCAATTCTAAAAAGATGGGAAATCATACGAAGAAACATGCACTGAAGAATCTATACAAACTCCCCGTAAGTTTGGCTGCCCAAAAACCGTATATACAAATCCGCGTCTCAAAATCAAAACAAAGGTTGATAACAATGATAAATCCCCGTACCTTCAAACTGCTTGACCTCGTTAGGGAGACAGAATGTGTAATCAAGAAAATATTAGTTTCACCTCCATGGTCAATCAACACCGATAAAAAAGTCAACCCACAGTTGCTCAAACGAAAACAAAAGAAAAGGGAGAGTTTTTTTTCTTGCTTCAGCCAGGTGGCGCCTTACTGCTAAATGCTAATTAGAGGCTTTTCATTGCAGCTATTTCCTCCAAGCGTAGCCATGTTTCTTTGCGTTTCGTATTGGTTTCTTCTTCTCGTTTTTCGTCTTGTTGGAATTTGAGCAAGCACTCGTCGAAGAGAACGGGGTCCACGTCAGCAAAGATTTTTCGTACATTTAGTGTGAGGCTCTGCACTGCTTGATTCCAATGGTTTCTTGAATTCTTCTCAAGTGCAGGGAAAATAATCGGCAGTATAATTTTGCGATTTTGTTTTATTAGGTTCTCGATGTGACCGTTGTTCCATAAAAAGAGTGCCCTTTCAGCCACCTGCATAAACAAGAATTATAAAATGTCTTATGCTATATTAAATTGACTCTTTATGCGATTGTATAGAGAGCTATCAATTCATTACATCAACGAGTCTAAACTCAGATAAATACGAAAATGTATCTTCAAATAAAGATGTTATCAAACTGTAACTTAAGCATGTACGAAAATTAGAACCACCGATAAAAATTAAAAACCTCAGCAAAACTGGATATATATACGAAACCAACCTGAAAGTGTGAACTGCTCAAACAACAACCGATCCTCCGGAACAAAGGAACCATACATCGCTGAAACTCAGTGGGCTGAGTTGCTTCCAACACTTCCTCCAACTCACCCAAAAACATGCCCTCCTTCGAACTATTTGTGATTGGCCAACATTTGAGTAACCCCCTTATTACAGTGTCGGCAAGTTTGCTGTCCTTTTCCACAAACTGCGTGATGCAATAAGAGAGCTGCTGATGGTACATCGATACGCACTTCGGTTTGTGAAGTGGGATCAAAGTCCGAACAAGGAAAAGCTTGTGCTCTTCTTTCAACGGCAAAGCAAATCCATTTATAATGCTTCCCAATATTTCCAAAAGCTCAGCAATCCCGTTATGCTTCTCCGTTTCGAAAATAAAACGGAAGAATACATTGTTGATCGATTTTCTAATGAAGGGCCTATGCACCATGAATTTTCCGTATATGCGGTGCAGCACGTTCTTTAAGTAGTCCCTTTCTCTAGGATCTTCCGAATCGAAGAGATCTAATAACCTTAAAATAAAAGAGTGATCGATGTAGCGTTTTGCCAGCTTTGCATCTGTTTCTGGGGAAGCTACGAATCTGAGAAGGAATTCGTAGACAATTTGCAAGTGGGGCCATTCGGGGTCCATTAAGGGCTCGTCTTCTTCCAAATCGAATCCTTCTATAACTTTCCTTTCACGTGGCTGTGTAGAGACTTTACGGAACAAATTCATGGACACCATTCTCACGATTTCTTGTATGACGGTTTCGTTGAATTTACCGTTTGCTGAGGTGGCGTAGTCAACGAGCTCCACCAATGTCTGCCTTTTGATGTCCTTTTCTTTTAAATTCTTTAACGGGTCGGTGAAGTCAAACGTTACGCAACACAAACTCAACTTTCTAATAAATAGGTTTTGCTTCTCGGAAGTTGGGACATCCTTAAAACTCGGAAGTGCTTCGTAAGGTAGAGCTCCTGCATTTCCATTTACCTTTGGGTCGTAAAGACCTGACGTAAAATTGGTTCTAGAATTAACCAAAGCGTTTGAAGAGAAAATAGAGGATCCTCCATCACGATTTTCCGCTAACTTGCCCTGTTTCCGTGGAATCCTATTTAGAATATTCTTGATCATCATTCAGTTACACAATCACAATATTCTTCGGGTAAACTCAACCGCAGTTACCAAATCAATCACTACAAATCAATTACCAAATCGATCTTGTCCAATTTATAAGGCATCTTCTTCACCATAAAAAGTAAACATACATGATTTGATGCATTTCTGCTGTAGATAGCAAAGAAATCCCATCTATTAAAGAGAAGAAAATGATTAATTAATTAATTAACACAAAGAAAAAATCTCCCATTCACACACAATCACAGAAACCAGATTTAATTTATCAATTCACTAACAAAAATACAATTCAAAAATCCTTATAAACAAGCTAACAGTGCGCTGAGTTCACTCTTCGTAAACAATCACGATCCCACATTTTTCCAACAAATTTGAACTAATCACCTACACATTTACAGAGGGGAGAAAGTAAATTGGCCAGGGAAAAAAAACCCTAAATTAAATATGCAGGATTCGGACTCACCTCGAATATCTCGGTTTTGTTTCCCAATTTTAGAAAGTTTTCAAATTTTGCGCTAGATCAGCAAGTGTTGAAAGATCTGAGAGCGATCTAGAAAACCCAAAAGTGAATTAAAATAGCAAAATCCAGAACCCAAACACCAGTAGACTCACTGTATAAGCTATACAAGTATGGATATACACACAAATTTCAAAACTTTACATGTACGAGTACAGAGATACACTGATGAATATATTTGCTAAATTACGACCACCGCCCCTTAACTAAAGTCAAATTATGGGAAAACCCCCTTTTATTTTGGTAATTACAATCGCCCCTCCTTTATGAATATTTTTAGACTTGCACCCTTATAGGGTCAAATTCAATACAATCTTCTAGATTTCATGGAATGTTCTCTAGTTTGTACTCGTTTTGTGCAAAATTCAGTTTTTAATGCATCACAATCTAATATTTAAAAGCCAAGAAACACATCTTTTGATCGTCTTGTTTCAAAATGCATAACTCGAACGGGGTAAAACGGGTATAAATTGGAGAATATTCCACTAAATTTGACACCGCAATAGTGGATGTGTAAGAAGATTCATAATTGATCAGGTGATTGTATTATTCAAACATTATTTGAGTTTTCTCGTAATTTGACAGTCCTCGAAAGTAATTTACCCTAATATTTATGTTGTAGTGCAAAAGGCTAAAGATTTGGGCTTTTTTTTTCTTGAGTAAATTCAAGTCCATTACAAGGGGAAGTAGAGGAGGGGGGACTCGAACCCTAAACCGTTACCCTGTTGGTAAAGGCTAGATACCAACTCTCGTAACGAGGGTTGAAAAGATTTGGGCTTATTTTAAGGTGAATAATGTTGTAATATATCAGAAGTTTCAAGACTTTCACATGTAATAAAAGCAGTTAGGAAAATATAACAAGTCACAAGAAAAGCCCTTGGCTTAGTGAAACAAGGAATATGCTACATTCTTGTACTGTTTTATAACTTGTACAATCGCAGAGTTCCAGCAAGAGAGAATAATACAAGTCTTGATTTCAACATCATTCTAAAAGCTAAGACGAAAAAAAAAAAAAAAAAAAAAAAAAAGGAGAAAAAAACGTCAAATTTGCCAATGAAGTTCCGGTGAAGAATCTAAAACCCCCTGTAGATGGCTGCCCAATTATGTATGTACAGTCCCGATTTTCTATTTCAAAAACGAGGTTGATCATATCAGGGACAGAATCGGTATTATACTTCATCCAGCACGAGCTGATGGAATTTAAAAAAACCGGAAGCATAACAAGAAAGCAACCAATAAAATACGCACCAGCACTTCCATTTCATAATTCCACCTCGGAGCCCACTATATTTATACCCATCCACGATCAAAAAATACCAATCAGAAAGTCAAAAGACAACGGTGGGACTAGAAACAAAAGCCCCTCCGTTTTTCAGCCAGATGTCCTGTTATTACTGGTTGCCTTCATTGTAGCTATGTCCTCTAAGCGTTTCCATGTTGCTTCACGTTTCGTCTTAGTTTCACCTTCTTGTGCTTCGTCTTCTTGGAAACTGAGCAAACACTCCTCAAACAGCTCGGGGTCCACGTCAGCAAAGATTTTGCGTACATTGAGAGTCAAGCTCTGCACTGCCTGATTCCAGTGGTTTCTAGCGTTCTTCTCCAGTGCGGGGAAGATGATTGGCAGTATAACTTTTCGATTTTGTTTGATCATGTTCTCGATATGGTCATTGTTCCATAAAAAGAGTGCCCTTTCTGCCACCTGTCAAAACAAGAACTAGGTAAGTGGATCATGAAAATAAACTTGTTGCCTATGAATCAATTTTCTGATCGGGTCTACATGGTCTGACTGAATCATCTTTATTCTTCTGCCGAAATCTAAAATATTACTTGCAGTTTATTATACAGAGGATCTGGGATAAGTTCCACATTTAGATAATCACAACTCCAAATTTAACTCTCGTGCAATTATGCAATATGGATATCTTGATTATGAAGTTGATAACAGATATCAAGATCTGGAAAAGAGGTTGTCATGAAGCTAAAAAAAATCGTTAACAATGACAGAGTAGAAATCGGTCCTTGGATTTAGCCGCATGACAAGTAGATCCAGCTACGAGTCGCCGACAGAATATAGTAGATGCATTAGGTAAAGCGCTGTTAAAATGATGTTTATCGTCTAAACATGTTTTTCATATGTTCATTTCACAAGAAGAGAAATATGATATTTCCAAACTTAACATGTTGTTTAGGCATCAACTTGTGTTCATATTTCTATTTGAAAAACTAAAAAATAAAGCATGTCAAGAAAATGTAGAAACTTCGACACATGCCAAATGTCGTCTGGAGAAACACCCGGGTAAAATCAGAATGGAGTTAAACTTACTCAAAGCAAGAAATGCTCTTAACCCAATGGATGCAAAAGCAAAGATTAAAATGATTTACGTGACCATAAATAAACAACATGTTGTGACAATGTGAAAATACATGCGATGACAATAAAACGGTAAACAACTAAGCACATAATTTGTCTTAAACAGCCAACCTGAAAATGCGAACTGCTCAGGGAACGACCAATCTGGCGGAACAGAGGAACCATACAACGCTGGAACTCAGGGGGCTGAGTTGCTTCCAACACTTCTTCAAGCTCACCCAAGAACATGACCTCCTTTGAACTATTCGTGATTGGCCAATATTTGAGTAACCCCCTTATGACTGTATCAGCAAGTTTGCAATCCTTCTCAACAAATTGTGTGATGCAATAAGTTAGCTGCTGATGGTACATTGGTATGCACTTTGGTTTGTGAAGAGGAATGAGCGCCCGCACAAGAAAGAGTTTGTGCTCTTCTTTCAACGGCAACGCAAATCCATTTATAATACTTCCCAATATTTCCAACAGCTCAGCGATCCCGTTATGCTTCTCCGTCTCGAAAATACAACGGAAGAATATATTGTTTATCGTCTTTCTAATGAAAGGTCGATGCACCATGAACTTTCCATATATGCGGTGCAGAACAGTCTTTAAGTACTCCCTTTCTCTATGATCTTCTGAATCGAAGAGATCCAATAACCTCAGAACAAAAGAGTGGTCGACGTATCGCTTTGCCAGCTTTGCATCTGTCTCGGCGGAAGTTACAAATCTGAGAAAGAATTCGTAGACAATTTGCAAGTGGGGCCATGAGGGTTCCATTAAGGGCTCCTCTTCTTCCAAATCAAAACCTTCCACAACTTTGTTTTCACGAGACTGAGTAGAGAGCGGACGGAACAAATTTACGGATACCATTCTCACAATCTCTTGCACGACAGTTTCGTTGAATTTTCCGTTTGCCGAAGTGACGTAGTCAAGGAGTTCAACCAAAGTCTGCCGTTTGATGTCTTTCTCTTTCAGATTCTTTGTGGGATCGGTGAAGTCGAATACTACACAACACAAACTCAGCTTTTTGATAAATAAGTTCTGCTTCTCAGCGTTCGGTACATCTTTAAAACTAGGTAAAGCCTCGAACGGAACAGGCCCTGCGTTTGCATTCACCTTTATATTCCATAAGTCGTGGCGTTTGTTTCCATTGTTTAGACCAGAGTTCTGAGATGAACTGATCCCAGAAAGAACTGTAGCATTTGAGTTGCCTGACTTGGAACCTGTAGCAGAACTGTTTCTCGAAGTAGTTGATGTATTTGAAGAGAAATTAGAGGACCCTCCATCCCGATTTTCTGCTAATTTGGCCTGTTTCCGTGGGAGCTTATTCAGAATATTTTTAATCATGGCTTAGAGCAACAAACAACAATGTTCTTCGACTTTGAGTGAACTCAAAAGTACCAATCAACAATTAAAAACCAGACGGCACCACACCCTCAGTGGTTAAGGATGTTTGTGAGATGCGGCAAGCAGGTCATAATATCGATTCCGACCCCCCGTATAACTCAGCGATCTAGTCCCAATAATTAATTCTCATCTGGTAAACCCAAAAGACAAATATCAGGAAGAAAATTCAACACCAAAAAAGTATTACAGAAGCCAGATTTAGTTTCATCTATTTATAAAACAACAATAAAAGATTCATGGAATACCTTTTATAGAAAGAAGAAAAACAATGCCACTTTTCCAATTTACTTTTTGAATTAAATTGCATGTCACTATCACACAGTTTAATGGAAGTCCCAGTTGCAGAATTTAAACTTCAATTAGAACAAGACTAAGATAACCAGAGAATATTGCCATGATAATTGATAATTGAATTTTCTACATGCTCTAATCACCACCATGAAAACAATCAACAGAAAAAAAAAACTCAAGGAAAAAGATGCGGATTGGAACTAACCTCAAATTTCGATTTCATGCCAATTTAATCTAACGAAAGATTCCCAAACAATTGAGCCAGATCACAAATTGCTGAGATCTGGACACGATCTAGAAAACCCAGCTGGCATTCTCCCTATAAAAAAAAGGCATCGATACAGAGAGTAGCATCCAGAACCAAAACCCAGTAAAGGTATACGAGTACGCATACAAAACCAAAGCTATCCGTACACAAGTGCAGACAAACGGAGGAAAACCGAGCAAATATTGCGGGTCATTGATTGATAAATCAAGTACATACTCGTCAAAAAATTCGATTGAAACAAAACCAGAGCAAAGCTAAAAGATCAAGTCTTCGTTTCGTGACTTGGGAAAATAGGGCCCAGAAGAGAGAGAAAGAGGAGAGAGAGGAATTGCGATATGGGCTTAAGAGGAAAAAGGGAAGGGAATCAATTTCTGGTGGTGGTTTGTTCTTGATGATGTGTTTCGGCTTAGTATTGATTTGTGTTTGGTTTTGCTCAATTATTATTATTATTGTTTTTTATTTTCCTTTAAATAATTTCCTCTCTACTTTTCATCTCATCTTTTTATTTCCCTTTTCTCACTCTTTCTTATATAAATTAATTTTAAAAAATAAATTCGAATTTCACCTCACTATGAATAAAATCTTTAACATACCAAAGTTTGTTATTTTCCTTTTCTCACTCTTTCTTATATAAATTAATTTTAAAAAATAAATTCGAATTTCACCTCACTATGAATAAAATCTTTATCATACCAAAGTTTGTCCTTTTTTTCCATTTAATTATTAATTACGAATTATTTACTAAAAATCCAGTCAAACAATATATGAAAAATAACTTTAACGTCGTAATAAATTTGAAATCTCTTTTCTGATATTCTTTTCGAATTATTTTAAGACGTTTTTAATTAAGCCGAAATGAATTTTATCGAATGATATTATAGCACATACGTGTATTGAATTATACGAACATCCACGTGTATATTTGTTTAAATGATAGAGGAAAAGTTACGTAGGAGACCAAGTAATTTTGATTTTATCAAAACTTACTTAATCAACTAGCATAAAATAAAATATGCAACCAAATTTCTACTGTAACGAAAAAAATGATTATTTTATTGCTCAAGTACCTATTCTTTTACTTTGGTTTAAAATCCACATCCTGATATTTGAAACGGTCTCGTTAATAATGCAAGGGATGACCTATCAATTAGAGCAAGTGAACCTATATTATATCAATTTACCGAGGTTCAAATCATCTACGAAATTATCGCTAGACGAAGTTCGTCATACATGGTTAGCCATTTAGCCTAATGTAGTTTATATCTCGTATAACTTGCAAGCTATTACACGAGAGTATATATTTACTTGCCTTTATATGATCGATTGCGGATTCCTAAAAATCGAACAATTGTTGACTAAGTCATTGATAGTTTGACATTTGAGGAAGTCAGATAATTACTTATCTTGTACTTGTCATTAAAAGCCAACTAGGATCATTTTGTATTACAAGAAAGAGAGCAAAAAAAAGGGAACTTTTTTTAGAATACTTCAAATAGAAACTTATTTTCGATTAAATCAAATAATGAAAATTAATAAAATAAGAACACCTACCATAATTGGAGAAAATCAAAATTATATGACTAACAAATTGCAAAAAACAAGAACACAGATCATAAACCACAATTTACTCTGAAATAAATATACAGCACATCCAGCTCAATATGAATCAACCAAAATCCCTATACAAAGTAGAAAACAATCCAGCAAAATACTCTTAGAAATCAAGTAACTAACAATCATCATTACATAAAACATGATATTCAAATTAAATCGTAATAAGGAAGTAGTTTATCGAACCAATAACTTGCCTGTGTGTAAAGGAAATGTCAACAAAGAGATGGCTCCTCCAGCGAAATTCTCAATATTGCTTCTAATTGTGGAATCTTCGAACCGCAGCAAGACAGTCTCATTGATTTGTGCGCACACAAATACAATAAAGAACTTCACGCATCGCACAAAAGTGTTAATCACAAAAGGCACATTGCAAACATGCGCGACACAATTCGAGGGTCAAACAATGAAGAAAGCCAAATAAATATGCTGGAAAATAGGAAGTGAATCTTCAAAAGCAATGAATACCTATCATTGCTCAATCAAAAACCCATCGATCGTTGTTCCCTGTTTACCTACCAATTAATGCATCAGTGTAATGCATGAATTGGGACAGCATGAATCTCTACATTTAAAAAAGTACATATATGCAACATAATTGGCACAGACATAGTCATAAAATCAAAAGGAAATTCACTGGAGACAAATCTCTCTTGAAGCTACAGCAGCAAGATCCCAATGTTCATGTCAATACTCCATTAAAGCTGTTTCGGTCTCTGATAAGGGTGCTGCAACAGAAAGACATAAGTTTCATCAAATTAATGGGGGAAAATGTGAATTATTTGTTCATGGAAAAACAATTATAAAAGAAGAAGTGAAAAACTAGTTACAGATGGATGTAAAAAAAATGGCATTTCTGAGATGTCAATTGTAAACTAATGATAGCTTTGATATCACTTCTCTTTTTCTGTGATCATGGATTGTGATAGATATAAAGAGTGAAATATTTGAGCAAGGCATCACAGAGTTAAAGTGTAGCAAAAAACAAGGACAAAATTAGCATTCGAACAAATAATAGTTTTTCACATAAAAGGATTAAACACACTGGCTGCGTACCGTGTATGATTGTCTCTTTGCTATATTCTCACAAATTCTCAGGTCAAGAACTAAGTGCATGGAGATAATAAATAATAATAACTTCTAAAAAACTGAACATATTTATGCCGTTGAGCCACAAAAGGAAGTCTGAAGTAAACTGAAACATCATACTTAATCAGGAATTAACTAGAAATCTTAGTTCAAGCATTTCACAAAAAAATTGAAAAAGTGTAAACGGGCAAAATCATTCACGGTTAGCAGCAGCAACAAGAAAATCGAAAGTCAGATGATTATGATACCTAGCAAATCCTCATAAGAATCTGCCAGAAATGCTGTATCCATTAATAAAGGAGGTGAGAAAACTTGATCCTGCGCTTCATCCATATCATAGAATGTCCTGTGTACATCAGAAACTGGTGAATTTGAACTAGCAGCATGAAAGAAACCGTTCACTCCATCAAATTCATCAAGGGATTCCAAATCATTTAACATGTCCCCCACTCCACTGTACTTGCTCCCAAGATAGTTGTCCTTAGCATGGGTTTGAAGAAAGGAAGAATCTGATTGAGATGTGAGCAACTGTCTACTCTTTAGAGAATTAAGTTTCTTATCTTGGCCATGTCGGGAAAATCCAGTTCCAAATGGTACAAAGAAGTGCTCAGAGCTATCATTAGAACGGCTATCTTGTGATGATTCCAAGTTGCATGATTGAGTTGAAAGAGCAGCTTCTCTAACAGATCTCTTCAAGTTTTGAAGAAAAAGAATATCTTCATCTACAGGTATAATTACAAAGCGAAAAGTTAAGAGACAACTGAGATTAGCAAATGTCAAAAAAACAAAAGGCGAAAGATGACAAACCATGTGAAGAATTATCCATGTGATTGTTCGATGGTGGCTGCTCTACGAACTTTTTCTCTGTTTCCATGGAGTTGGTTTGAGCCACAACCTGTCGCTTTTGAACGTTTCCACTTTTTCCGGAAGAACTTGGCGTTGAACTAAATAGCGGCGGCAGTTTCAAAGTAGGGGGGCTAGCTGACATCTTTTCAAGCTGAACAGACGAAAGTCTAGAGGCTAATTCAACTACCTCGTCACTAGCATTTTCCTGGGCATTAAAAAGATTTATTTAGAGCATTTTCAAAAACTAGGTCAAACCATGATATCATGACTCCAGAATTTTATTCAGAAAAATGAAAATCGTATTACCAAATTTTTCCCACCGCTCTCTGTTTGGTTAGGCATGTTTGATCTCAGTTTCGTAGGAGGAGGGAGATTAGATGATATGCTATCAACTTCCTCTGTAAGCTCTAGAATTGAGTTTTGTATGGTTGGAGCAACGTCCTTTAGTTGATTAATGAGCACCTGCACAACACCCCAACTCTTATCAGAAAAGCTTTTTCAGTGCAGACCTCTCGCTTAGCACCTCGACTTCCAGATGTGACTTAGTTCCAATGCATATGCGGTATGTTTCAAGGAAACAACCACCAAGATTCAGAAGAAACATTGCAACCCTGCATAAAACTAACCTGTATGCTGTCTAGGTGCTGCCGATGTTCGGCAAGTGTTGTGGTCAAAGACTCGGCATGACTGCTGGCACCACCATCATGCACACTTCGTAAGAGCTCTGGACCCTCTCCATTGTTGGATTTTGCCTAAAACACAATCAGTTCAAAGAATTCACTACATCAGAAGATATTAAACAACCAGCATGCTGACTTTAAGCATAAGAATTCCACCATATACAGCATAGAAGAATATTTTCTTGATACTGAAAAGACGTGTTCAGTTTTTGGTATCTCACACAAATTGTTGGGGAAACTCCAGGAACTGCTTTAGTCTCTTCTCAGTCAATTGCTAAAACAACCGTAAACCTTTTATGCAAATTGTCTGTACTATAAACCTAGGATCGCAGATTTTCACTAACCTCATAAAATTACAAAATTACTACCATAGACCACTTCTATGGCTAAAATGAAACTTAAGGACTAACCTTCGGTTTTCTCACTTTCACAAGCAGACACATTTTCCCATTACAAAATAACAAACGAGAAAAAGAAACACAGTCTTCTTACATTGTTCATATGTTTATACATCGGTTTCATTCTTTCTACATTGTTAGTGCAACTTCAACTTGTTTGTTCAGCTAGTGTGCATGGAAATTATTAATAACAAACTAACAATCTCCCAAAAACCAATGATGTGGTAGCAGTATGTTGTAGGATTTAATAAAATGTTTTTATCAAACTAATTGACATTTGAGTGGATTATAGGCCAGGATAAGATTAGAAAACAATTTTGGTTGTTCAAAGGGTAAAAGTGATCTACAAACAGGGAAATAAAGTGGTTCTCCAGAAAAGAGCATACCAGTTGGAGTGATTGCTTATGAATGCGCTGCAAGGCATGGGTCCAACGTCGCAAGACTTCGGCAATATCAACAGTAGGCTGCCCTCTTGTACTTCTTTCCTCAAGTCGGGAAAAATTTTCTTCATCTCCATGAGTAGGAGAAAATTCCCAACTATTTTTGTCCTCTTTGTTTAATTCTGATTGTGAACTCTCACTTTCCTCATTATCTAAATGTTGAGTCAAATTACTAGATGAAAAAGAAGAACTTTGATCCATTGCTGCCAGCAATGACGAACCAGAGATGCGATACCTGGAAAAGAATCCCAAGCATAAATACAAATAGAGCTAATTGCCTGTCAGTACGAACCAACAAACATTCTAGGAAAATTACCTATGCTCTCGATGAGCAATAAGATCCTCTATTGGGCCTGAAGCAAGGACCTCATGTTGGCCTGTACAAATAACACATATATTAGACTCCACTTAGTATTGCACGAGACAAACTAAAGAATTATTGTCAGTTGTCTCAAACTAAAAGAACTGGTGGGTTGAATGCTGTAAACATGCCAAGAGATCGTAGTGCAAATCACATCTATATGAATGTGCTGGGAAATGTTTAAAAGGAAAATTTGAAGTGGTTTTTACAGTGAATATCTTATTGTGGCTTGTCAAAAGTCAAAATAAAGTAGAAGATATGATAATATATATATACGACCTGTAGATACATAAAAGTTTATTCTCGGTCAACTGATCACATGATGGCAACCTAGGATACCGTACAAGTAAAAAAGCCTGACATATCATTAGAGACTCTGAACTCCAGCAAAACAAGATCAAGGAATGAAAACTGAGAGAACCACAAATTTACTTATGCTTACTCTTGCGAGATAACAACGAGTCCCACAACCGAGTAGCTCTTTGAACTATATGAGAGTTCTGACTTGAGCTAGATACAAGCTCATCCCAGAGTTCCCCTTCCAATTTTACTTTGTTTCTCAAATCGTGTAGTTTTTCAAGCTCTTGCTGTAGATATGCCTAACAAGAAGAGCAGATAGAAGTGTTTGACAAAGTCAGCCTTCCAAAACATCATATAGTTGGCATTATTCTGAAGTGAACCATCGTAAGATATTGTTTACCTCCTCAGCACATAAACCACGAAACTCTGCTGTCATTTCATGAGCCAAATCAGACCATATTACTTGCCTTTGAACTGCAGTCTCTGCATTTTTCAGAAATCTTCTTCTTTCAAGAGCTATTCTAGCCTGTTTATAGATAAATAGATTGAAGAGATTTAGATTAGCATATGGAAACTCGAAAATGTTTCTGAACATTTTATCAAGATATAGTATAATATATATTGCTGCAAGAAAGTTTAAGTTAGTTTTAACAAGAAGGATAAAATACAAGTGGCGTCATGGCAAACTTGTCAACAGCAAACAATTAACGATGAATAATTTAACAAACCAATACAGTTTTTAAATATAAAATGAGATTCTGAAAACTCCATTTTTCATCAACAAAGTCTAACTTTCATGGAAGAAATTAAGAACACGTGCCAGAGTCTGTAAATAACCTAAACAGGTATATGTAACTTTCATATACACTATAGTTAATTCAGTGTCACTATCCGTAGGCGCTCACAGAGAATCATACATCATATCTATCAAATGATAACTTAATCATGCCATGCCTTTGTTCTATTAGCAGAAAGATCAAACAAATTACCTTAGTTACAGGAAGTAGTGTAGCCGCATGTGAGAAAGCTACATCAGTTAATGGGGCAGGTAGAGGATTTGATGCTACATCAGCTGCAAAAGTTCGCCTATGAACTTCCCTTAAAGCATGCAGGGAAAGCTGCCATAAGAGTTCAACAAATCTGCAACAAGCAAATGTAGATTTTAATTATATATCCAATAGATGGAAAAACAGGACCATTGTTGGGACACGAGGCTAGCTTTTCCAGGAAATCTCAACTTTTATTGGTCTAAATAGCCCACTTGGAAACAAAATACCAGCCAGACTTATTCCGGAAGTGGTACATGTTTTCCAAAAACTTATTATAATGTAAAAAAAAAAATTAGTAGATGTCCTCTTACGATGAAATTGTTGTTCATTTTACCTTTTTCTTTTTGTCAAGCCCTTTACAAATATGGAATTGATTCTTTCCATATTTTATACTGGGATCACCTCTTTCAATCTCTTGAATAATTAAGTTTAGAACAACTTGCACTGGGAAACCTTGGTCGTTATCTTTTCTTTCTATATAAAAAGCCACAAACAGTGGCTCCCTTGACCAGAATTATTCTTAATCAGCTTTTCCAACTGTTATTTGAAATTTTCATTACACTAGAACTGCATAAATACTCTCCTCCCCATAGTTTCAACCATGCCAAATTTCTAAAGTTTATTACCAAAACATTATTAACTGCAAGTTAAACCTCAATCACTGCAAATTTCATCAAACTAAAGCTCAACTGTAGAAAATAAATCAAACTGAACACCGGCTGAACTCCATCTAAACTAACCTCGGTCCACAGCAAGTTGCAAGAGACGAAACCCTTGAATTGCTCCTGGGCAGTGCACCTTGTGATTCCAGCTCACTTATAATCCCTTGGACGACCTAAAAATTTCCCCAAAAAAAGAAAATAGCACGATTATAGTTAAAACCAAATCAATGCCTGTATAGACATAAATCCATAGATTTCCAACAATTTTTACCTTTCGAAAATCCCTGGATTGAGCCGAATCAAAAATTGGCCACACCTTATCGAAATCCTGTCAGAACGATCCAAACCACAAACAATTTTACACAACAATCAATCGAAAAAAAAATGTATATTCGTAAATGAAAAAGGTCTGAGACAAAATATACCTTGGCTGATTGAATTGGGCCTCGAAGAGACGACAAGATGAAGTATAAAAGCTGTTCACCCAATTTGGGGTTGGAATGGCGAAATAACCCGACCCGCGGAGTGCCGTTGATCGACCCGATTCCGATTACATTCGGATCCAAACCAAGCAACAAGCAGTTCGTGTACATTGCACTCTCCAGCTCAATCTCTCTCTCCTTTTCTCTGTCCATCGTCATTCCCCACAATCTCACTCTGTGATTTTCGGGGAGGTTTTAGTTTTCCGATTACAATTCTTTTCCGCTTTTTTACTTTAATATTTCTTCGAGTTCCATTTTATTGTAAATAATTTAAACTACAAAAAGACCCCATATTTCATGGAAATTAGTTTCTGACCCTTTTTATGATTTTATTCAACGAATTTATTACACGAATTATTCAATTTTGATTCTAAATAATTCGTGATAAATTTTTCTCGTGATGGGCGCTAGTTTTTGGAAATACGAGCCTTTTAAATTAATTTTAAATTGCTCTAAGGTCTCTGGTTGGGGTTTGTGATTTTAAAGTGTTGAGGGGGCTTGGTGGTATTTTATGAAAGTTATTTAAATGCTTTTAGGTGGGCCCCAAAATGGATGAATGAGTCACGTTATGGAAATTTGAAATGTGGGGTGACTTAATTCAAATAAATAAATAAATAATTGTGGGGGTGGCCCTAACGTGCGCCGATACACTCATTCGCCGGCTAACAACCGCCACTTCTGCTGTCGTCACCTGGTGGTTAAATAGTAATTATTTCCCTTTTAAGTTTATAATTTCCTTTTTTTACATTTTAACCCTCAAATTGTTGAAATTTGAACTCTTTGGTCCCCTCTTTTATTTGAAAATTATTAACTTGGACTATTGCATTTTTAACATAATAACTTGCTCTTTTAACCATGTCGGATTAATTTGGATTAAATGAAATTGAATTATTTTCTTATTGAATAATTGATTATTTAGTTAATAAATGCTCGGTTTTCTTAGATTAGATCTTGTATAAAACATGATATTTTTTTGTATTACAGATGATTTATCTATAAAATATTTTACTTTAAAATATAGCTTTAAGAGTAAAATCGTCTTTTTCTTAGTAGTCACACTTACAAAATTAATCATAGTGGTGGAGGTCCAATATTCATCGTCATCTTGACAAATTCATCGCAATCCAATAGAAAACCCTTAATTTGAAGGTTAAGGTTTTCATTTATAAAAAAGTTTCGAGTTTTTGCAAAATGAGATTTTCCGACGCTCCCCCGATTATAGATCGAATCGAAGTCCTTTCTTCCAGCTTTGAGGGTTCTAGCCTATTTTTTCTTACTAAATTTTAATTATCATTTTAATAAATTGGTAGATATTATCTTGTTAATGTAAAAAAACTAAATCTTCTTATCGACAAAAGAACCTGCAACCATAAACTGCACCGAATAAACGGTAAGAAATATAAACTACATTAGACTAACCATATATGATCAACTCAATCTATATAATATTGAAACTAAAATTAGAATTGGCTCGTAGTTTTGAAACAAGTGAGCATGCAATCTTGCCAATAATTGCTAGATCGAGATTGTCGGAGATGATTAGCCTAGTGTGGTTTACGATATTAAACGAGAGTATATATTTACCCAGTGCACCTACGATTGACCACGAGTTTATTTGTTAAAAAAAAAAAGAAAAGAAAAAAGAAAAACCGAATTGTGCCAAATGTACAATTTTTTAATCTTTTCATATTATGGGCCAATTATGGTTGGAAACTGAAAAGGAACCTCATTACCAAAGCCCAGCCCAAATCAAATAAAAAAAATATAAAAAGCCCAGCCCAAATCGAATAAATCACAGGAAAGGAAACTACACCGGTGCGGGTTAAGAACGGTTCACTGACCCGACTCGTTTGAATAACAGAGGCAAACCCAAATTCCCAAAAGGGGAAGAAAGAAAATCGAGGGGAGTAGCAGAAAGAATCCCGGGGATTGCTTTATTCGGTGATGATACACGATTCCTTACAAGCTTGTAAACGCAGAAGATTCATCGCTGTTTCTGCAATGGACTCTGAATCAGCTAAGGTAAACAGTATTCAAGTTTTTTCTCCGATTTCTAGAGTATTGATCGTGTTTCCCCGATTTCAATTTTATTTTCTGTTGTTTATTTGCCATGAGGATCTTCTTATTTCCTGTTTAATTTATGGTTTAGTTAATTTTTAGTAGCTTCCCTGTAAATTATTGTGTTACCTATATCTGATTTGCTTGTATGTTTAATGTTTAGAAATAAGTATTAAGAAACTTCTGTTATGGTAAGCGAAGAACTTGATTATCAATATAAAAGTTCAATGGTGAAATATAAAGATAGCAATGACTGAAAATATTTTATTCTGGTTGCCTGGTTTTGGATCTCGAATCTTGATTGATAGTTTTTCGGTTTGATCTTTTGAGTTCAAGAAATTGGGGTTTAGAGATTTGACACTTAGGTTAGTGCTTCGGAAGAAAAATGTCTTGATTATATGATTATCCACATTAAGATCATCTTCGTCCTCATCGTTCATCTTTTTTATTTTTGAATAATGAATCTTTCTTGTTAATCTCTTGCAATTGAAGCTGTTGCATCAAAGTTGGTATGAATTAATCCACTTTCTTGTTGGGGTAATCGGGGACAAATGTTTTTTCTGTCTTAATGTTTGTTATGCTGCTTAGCTTAGTTATTTGGAATTAAATTATTGATTATTTGGGTATATAGGCACAGCTTGCAGCTGCAAGAGAGAAGTATGGACGAGAAATCAGAGTGTTTGAAACATCTTTAGCTTCTGCAACCACTAGCAATGTTTCTAATATCGGTAATTGCAAATTTATCTTTTCGGTATTTCGTCGTGATTGTCAGCTGATATTATATGTGTGTTCAGCGCTTTTGACTTTTAACGTTTTCAGATGAAAAAGAGGACTTCTACGAGTTCACAACAGAGGACTATTACCGGCTTTTGGGAACTAAAAAGGAAGGTAATCTTGATTTAATTCTTGATATCGATGAATTTTATTTTATTTTCCGATTAGTGATTATGCTGGTGTAGATTATTGAAACTCTTTTAACATTTTTAAGCGATGGAACCATGTGCAGATAAACGTCTGAAGACGAAAAAGATCAGGGATTCAGAAGAGGCAGCTCGCAGGTCAAGGATGACAAAGGTGCTAATTAGGTTCTTTGCTTTTCTTCCAATTTCAAATATATTTCTCGTTTATTTTCAACCTTTTTGGGTAATAAATTATAAGCGGATACTCAGTTACGTATTTCATTATATTCAAGCAGGCAATGATCAGAGTACGTTTTCCTGATAACCATACACTGGAGGTCTTATTTCATCCATCTGAGACAATTCAGAGCTTATTCGATTTTCTGAATAAAGTGATTGCTCATCCAGAATTATCATTTTATCTATGTGAGTATACATTACTTCCATATTTTTCTTTCGTCCCGCAATCTTGTCTCAAAAAGCTTAATATATTGATAAAATTTGGTTATCTTTCAGATACTACACCTCCAAAAAAGCAAGTAAAGGATATGTCTCAAGATTTTTATACTGCCGGATTTGTACCCGGTGCAATCGTGTACTTTGCATACGATGTCCCAAAAGGTACTACACGCAAATTTAAGTCAATTTTTTTTTTTCTCCTTTAAAAGACATTATCGAATATCTGTATTTTGATTGTGTGAAGTTACTTCAGGTGGTGAAGAAAATGCTCCATTTGTCGGCCCGTTTCTTCACGATGATGTCATGTCTTTGCAAGGTCTGGAATTCGTGGCTCAACAGGCGGGGCCCACACACGAGTCCGCACCAGAAGAGGCTACAGGTAGCCCTTCTGTAGTTGTTCCTGAGCAAAAGCCGAGCGACAAGAAGAATATTAAGCCCAAGTGGTTGAAAATGTAAAACAACTCTCCATAGACAAACTTGGGATTAAGACTCTGTTTGTCTTCTCTGTATGTGATTTTTTCTTCTTTGGACATATTTTAGCTTTGTGGAATGATCCTTAAACAGATGGTTACTGTGAATATCTTTTGTTGTTTAATCCTAATCCATTTCGTAGACGATCTTCTAGAAGCTGCTGGATAATCTACAATCTGTTATACATGAAGGGGCCTTTTTTTTTTCTTTTTTTTTTTTTAATGAAGCACTCAATTATGGAATTGAACCATTCATTATTTAGGTAAGTTGGTGGATGCACGTGGATTTATTTATGTTATGGTTGTATTTCAAAACTCAGTGGATATTTTCTGAAAATTTTATAATTTAAAAAAAATTTCCAAGTCGATAAAATAATGCTAATAAATACTGAGCTAAAAAAATAAATAAAAAATAAACTACATCATAATATTCAATAAAGCTTCTAATAAATATATATTATTTATAAGTGTCTTTTTTGAAGAAAATTGGTCTTTTTGGAATTAATTTCGGAAATCAAATCGGATTGGAAATTTCAATTTCTTTTATATAATTTCTAATTCCAATCTAAAAAATCGGAAATTGGAATTTCGAAAGTCGATATGAAAAAAGTTGTTTCAAAATCGAAATTTTACCTTCCGTTCCAACTTGCACACCTACATGTATTAAAAGAAAATTAATTCCGATTTATATAGTAGTAATTGTTACGAACAAAATGAGATGCTTTAATTACAAATTGATTTAGACACACCTCGACTACACCTACAACTTCACAGAAGAATCGCATTTGTTACGGCGGCGGCTGAATCGCATTTTATTCTACAAGTCAATATTCACAGGTACGAGTGTTTGGTGAAAAGCTAGAAACTTGAAACCCCACCCCACCCCCACCCCACCCCACCCCACCCCACCTCAGCACTTACGCACATGGCTGAATAAAATATCTGAAATTCAGTTCACCAACCCACAGTCACTCTCGCATAACACTTGCAAATTTAGTTTCCACAATTCTGCCAAACGATCGTATTCGTAATCAAACGTAGAAAGGTGCTTTCAGCTCTCCTATTTTTTTTTTTTATTTATTATTTTTTTTACGACGTATTATTCTATGTTCGCCAATGATCCGTTTCGTGAATTATTTATTTCACTTGTTTAATTTCTGTTCTGCTTTTGTTTACCTACTTCTGAACTTAAAAGAGAAAAAAAAAATTTAGAAGAAAAAGGAATGATGAACTGCTGCCGATTTTGTTAGGTGAAACTGTACGTATTTGAGTTGGTTGATCACGATTCCTTTTCATTTTTATTTTTCTGGCTTTAACACTTTTCATGTGCTCTGATTTTGGATTATTAGTTGTCTTGGATCAAACAATTGGGTGATTTTGTTTTATCACCATCTTCGTTGGGGTTTCGGTAAATCATAGTTTGTGACGAGAGTTTTAAGTTTTTTGATTATTTAATCAGTTAATTATGAAGATTTGATTGTTAAACAATACCAATTTGCTATTTACAGTGCCGATCCGGATATTTTTGCAAGTGTTTTCGTTGTAGCTGCTGTGAATTGAGAGAATGGCAGCATCTGCTGAATGGCACTGTGAGAAAAGACCGTTTAATAAGAATGAGTCTTTTACAAGAGACAATGAGAATGTGCCTGAAACTGGCTGCCTTTCTATAGTTGTTCTCGGTGCTTCAGGCGATCTTGCTAAGAAAAAGACATTTCCCGCGCTTTATAACCTTTTATCGACAGGTAAAATACTACAATCTGGATTTCGCTTTTAATATTCTCATGCATGTTGTTATTTATTTCAATTGCCTGTAGACTGAAATTATGCCTTGAATCAATGACTGAGATATTCAGGGATTTTTGCAACTGAACGACGTTCACATTTTTGGCTATTCGAGAACCAAGCTTTCTGACGATGAATTGAGAGATCGGATTCGAGGGTATGATTTTCTCATCCTATGTTTGAGTATGTGGCGAAGTAATTTGCTGCCTATATTTCTTGGCCTTTATTAGCAAAATGATTCAGAAGATATTCACTGTAACATAATTACTTTCTTGTAGATATCTGCCCCAGGCAAAAGAAGTCAAAGACGATGTCTCGAACTTTCTGCAATTGGTTAGCTGTTGCCACTAACCGATGTTTCCCTCATGCATAACCTTAAACGATAATATATGCTTAACATTATTGAATTTTTTCTTTGTTCAAAATAATGTAGATTAAATACGTGAGTGGCTCTTATGATGCTCGAGAAGGCTTTCAAGAATTAGACAAGGCGATATCCGAGCATGAACTATCGAAGAACAGTACAGAAGGATCGTCCCGGAGACTTTTCTACCTTGCACTTCCTCCTTCGGTATATCCACAAGTCTGCAAAATGATCAAGAGTCATTGCATGAATAGATGTATGTATTTTCGAAATTATTTTCATATATATCACTTACAAATGCATTGCTTTCTCCATAATTACGATTATTTCCTTACCTCCAGAGAAAGATTCTTTGTGATCTAGGTGATCATTATTAACTATCCTTTTAAATCATGATAATTTTGCAGACTTTGAACTATGGTAGATTAGTGCATCATACGTCATACTTTTAAGTTTTACGACCATCCTTTTTTTAATTTTTTCTTTTAATTCTATAATGTTTTCAGCTGACCTTGGTGGATGGACTCGTATTGTTGTTGAGAAGCCATTTGGTAAGGATTTGGCTTCAGCTGAAGAACTGAGCTCACAGATAGGAGAATTATTTGATGAGCCACAGATTTATCGTATCGATCATTATCTTGGAAAGGAATTGGTGCAGAACTTGGTAATTTTATTGCTTAAATAATTAATTGGAATATAATTATCATCCATTACAAACAAAGAAACACATTCATTTCCATGTCTTAAAACATTGCAGTTGGTACTTCGTTTTGCCAATCGCTTCTTTCTACCTCTTTGGAATCGCGATAACATTGCTAATATACAGGTACTAGCTTGACTTAAAAACCTTGAGATTTTTCTTGCATATTATTCCTTCAGTTAAGACCATTTTTTTTTACTTTGATTTACGACAGATTGTGTTTAGGGAAGATTTTGGGACTGAAGGACGAGGTGGATATTTTGACCAATATGGGTATGATTATGGAATTAATCCTGTCCTCCACCATTAAATTCTTAATTGCCAAGTTTAAAACGTTTTATACATTCTTTTCAATTTTATATCACTGTCTGGATAATGACGAACCTATATTTGTAACTTATTTTTTTGTCTTTGTTTTTGTTACTTTGTAGGATTATCCGTGATATCATCCAAAATCATCTACTCCAGGTGAGCCTTGTTTATAAAGACAGATAACTTGTTGAGTAATAATCCTTATTACTAAAAGGCCCGATTATTCTATTTCATATAAATCACGTTTTACGCAGTTGAAGTGCGACCTGGTTTTATATCTATGATTTTAGTTGTCAAAATTTTAAGACGAGTTGATCTTGGTTGTATACCAATATACAAACAAAATTCCTAATAAATGTGGAACAATAACACATGACTGTATAATCCCTGTCCCCTTTTGCTTGCATATATTGATTAGCCATAGAAATTTGCAGGTTCTTTGCCTCGTCGCCATGGAGAAGCCTGTTTCGATGAAGCCTGAGCATGTTCGAGATGAGAAAGTGAAGGTATATATGAGTTTCTTCAAGAAACTCGTGTAGATATATATTTTTTCTATTATTATATGTGGAAAATGAAGACTATATCCAGTTTCCACTAATGATTTGGTCTGAATTCAGGTTCTTCAGTCCGTTGTTCCTATAAAGGACGAAGAGGTGGTGCTTGGACAATATCAAGGCTATAAGGATGATCCGACAGTTCCAGACAACTCAAACACTCCTACTTTTGCCACAGTAATTCTACGTATACACAATGAAAGATGGGAAGGTAGACAAGCAGACAGCATATTACAGTTAATTAGCTGTATCATTTAATTTTTGTAACCTTGAGGGAGGATAATCTTGAATTAGGTATCTTATCTAGTGTGTTCGTAAATTTTACAGAAGTTATAATTACACTGTATCTTATGTAGTGTGTTTGAAAAACTGTAGGTGTGCCCTTTATACTCAAGGCTGGAAAAGCTTTAAATTCAAGAAAAGCAGAAATACGGGTTCAGTTCAAGGATGTTCCTGGCGATATATTTAAATGTACGTGCAGAACTTTCGACTTTTACTGTTGCATTAACTGCTGCTTCTGTTGCAAGTTTGCGGTACAAATATTTGTTTCTAAACTATAGTGATTTAAGAAATAATTTGCTGAAGTGACATGCAGATAATTACAGTAATATGCGGTAATTATTTTTGAATTTGCAGTGTTTCAAAATTTATAATGTGTTGCTACAGTTGAAAAGTTAATGATGCTTAGATTTCCAGATACTTGATATGAATTTGCGTGTTCTACAGAATTACGGGATTTCGTTTAATAAATATCACAACTTATCTCAGCAAAAAATGGGGGAATCGAAGTGTTTGCGGTTTAGCAAAAAAATTACGAATCCAGGCTTTGAAAATGTTACCCGAAATAATATGGGCTTATTACACTGAATTTTCATGCTTCAAAAGAAAATTTGTTTGAATTAGACAAATATATTAATATCTTTAGTTCATAAATTTGATTAGCAGGAGCAATCTTTCATAACGACAGTTAATATTATGCAGGTCAAAAGCAAGGAAGAAACGAGTTTGTGATTCGTCTGCAACCTTCTGAAGCCATATACATGAAGCTAACAGTAAGTACCGAGTACAACTGAGTAGTGCATGGTTTTTCGCTGGCATTTTAAATCACATGATGCTTTTCCTTACTTGGTATTTTCCTTACTTGTAGGTCAAACAACCTGGTTTGGAAATGTCAACTGTACAGAGTGAGCTGGACTTATCATACAGGCAACGCTACCAAGGAGTTGTCATTCCCGAGGCTTATGAACGACTAATTCTCGACACGTATGATTATACCGATCTTAGAAACACACCAAAACGTAGATAAATACAATTTTTTCTATTGCATTAATAATAACTAGATGATCCCGTTTTCGTGTTCACAGAATTAAAGGTGATCAACAACATTTCGTCCGCAGAGATGAGTTGAAGGTAACTAAAAAATCAGACGCATTTCAAGATTTGTCAAGATTCTTACATTATTTTATGCATAAGAGAATTACTATTTTTTCGAGTAATAATTTTTCCCGTTGTCGATTCACAGGCTGCTTGGGAGATATTTACTCCGCTTCTGCACAGTATAGACAAGGGAGAATTTAAGTCGCTACCGTACAAACCTGGAAGCAGAGGCCCCGCACAAGCGGATCAACTGTTGGAACGAGCTGGTTATGTCCAAACACATGGATACATATGGATCCCCCCTACATTGTAAAACGAATCATCTGTTAAATGACGATTATGCCCTTTGCTTTCTAGATGCTTTTGTTGTGTTGTTAAGATTCTAGCTTTCGTGTTATGGCGGCTAAAACGGTTGGATTTGAGTGGGCTGAGTCGAGAAATATGTTGTGCGCAGGCTTATATAATATGTAATAAATGCTTGTTTGGTTTTTTGCGAAAGCTAACTGAAAGATTGATGCATGAGAGTTTCTTTACATTTCGAAATAAGTAATTTTTTTGTTAATATTTCAACTTGCAAAACAAGAGTTGTAGGGTCATAGGTTGCTCTAAAATTCAAGTTTGATTTGTACATTTTAAATTGTGTTTTAGAAACTAACAATGATCTCTTGATTCAAACGTTGAAGACAAAAATTGCAAAGTCGCGTTACAAGTTAGAAAGAAGAAATGCGTTTTTATCTTTTCTTGCAAGCTCGTCATTCTTCTCAATGCACTCCAAGTTAATTAGATAAAGTGCACTTAAAACCGGACCGGAAATAGAACTGGACAACCATATCCGATTGTGTGAGCACTCCCTTTAATTTTAAATTTCTTAACCCTAAACCACACCATTAATTTGTTTTGCTGTGTATCCTTGAAATCCAATTTCATAATTTCAAGTAATTGCATTTGAATGTTTGAAATTAAAAAATGATTAGAGAATTTGGTACTCTCATTTTTTATTCTTCTATTCCCATTTTAACCCCCTAAACAATTATATATATATATATATATATATATATATATATATATATATATATATATATATATATTTTCAAAGCATCTGTATGCCGTAGGGATCTAAACAAAATACATACAAGTAAAATAGCGATTCTCTCTCTCCCTCTCTCTCTCTCCCACCACGAGTTTTTTTCTCTCTCCCAACTAAAATAGCGATTCTCTCTCTCTCTCTCTCTCTCTCTCTCTCCTTCCTTATTAGGCTTCTTCTGTTTGTTCCTTGCTTTCTAACTCAGTATATAGGTATAGATAGAGATACAAGTATATAGGTATAGATAGATACAACTGCATATTACATACATCTTTGCTTTCTGTTGTTCAACAAACTATATTTGCAGCATATATTATATACCTACAAATAATACTCACTAGGGTCAAACGTTTTGATTACTGTTGTGATTAGATTCTTCTGCCGAATACAATCGCCGCCGCCGCCGCCTCCATCTGATTCCGATTTCATTTATTATATTTCTATTTGCTCATAATTGCTATGTTTATTCTCTCGTTGCGATCGTACATTGCATTTGAGGGTTTCTTCTTCACAGGAGAACTTTTTAATTTCTCTTGACAGGTCTGTGATTATCATTCATTAAACCTATATCTTATGTTTTCCTTTTTTTTCTTCAAATCAGTTATTATATTTGGCTGTAGCAATTTTTAATATTAATCTGGATTATTGTGTGATTATTGTTTTTTTTAGGGGTAAATAAAAAGAGAAGGCCTTTAATTTGATAATATATTGCTGAAGAAGCTATGTTGTTGAATCAAGAAGAGAATGTGAGTTGTGGTGTTATTAAGTCTGATGAAGGGTGTGTAAATGTTGGTCATCTGTTGCCCAAAAATCTTTTTGGAACGGATCCCGATTCCGGTACTGGTGAAGCTTCTCGAAACAAAAACGACAACAACAGCAATATTTTTGCTGCATTTGAACTTTTGATATACGACGACAATGAAGAAGTGGATGATTTATCGTATTTTGGTTCTGAAAAATATCAGAAAGAGCATGTGAAGGATTGTAATATCGAAGGAGGTGCTTCCGCCCCGGCAGATGCTTTATTCTTTGCTCTTGGTTATCTTGAAGTTAAAGACCTTCTTTCGGTCGAAATGGTTTGCAAATCGTTGCGCGACACTGTTCGAAATGACCCCCTTCTTTGGAGAAATATTGAAATAAGTTACCCTTTGAGTGATAAAATCACCGATGGTGATCTTCTCCGATTAATCAACAGGTCTCAAGGTACCCTTTCCAGCTTGAGCCTTGTCAGGTGCTACAAGATCACAAACACGGGTCTTAAGCAAATTCTCGAACGCAGTCCACGTTTAACCAAGGTCGGTTTTTCTCGTTGTTGCTTGATTTTGGGCCTAAAATGCTATGTATAACTATTCCAGTTTTAGCAAGAAAATAATCTTGGTAGCTAACTCTTGTAAAAGTTTATTTCTTGAATATTCTCGATAGCTTTTAGGAACTAGTAGAATGATTTTTTCTTACACGTGTCCTTTGGCGAATGTGCAGTTAAGTGTGCCAGGATGCATTAGGCTAGAGATCGAAGAAATTTTGCGAGATTTGAAGCTCTTCAACTCCGCTACTTCACCTGGTATCAAATCTCTAAGAATTGGGGAACTCCGAGGTCTGACGAACGAGATGTTCGAAGAGTTCAAGATTCTCTTAGGGGTAGAAAAGGAAAAAAATCCCAACAACCACAAACCGATATTTCATCGGTCACCACAGCTGTATCTCTCTCTAGACGACGAGCGTGTGATAGACATCGAAACATGTCCTAGATGCCAGCGAGCAAATCTAGTGTACGATTGCCCTTCGGAGACTTGTCAAGTGGAGGAGGGGCCCCACCATCCCTCCACCACAAACAAGCCATGCAGAGGTTGCATATGTTGCATCTCTCGTTGTTTGAGCTGTGGGTGCTGCTTAGATGATAAGCCCTATGAAGAGACGTTTTTTCTCGAGTATCTTTGCTGGGATTGCTTGGGCCAGCTCATCGATTGGGATATGCCCTTTCACAAACTGGCAAGTTGCCATCTTGTCCTCTGTGGTTAGGCAAATCCAGCTTTTGAAATTTATGTCTTCGAAAGTCGAGCAATGGCAATGCCGCCGCATCCACCATGGGCCTATAAAATCGAACCAAAATTTTCGATGATTTGGTGGAAGAAATGTGGGGTTCGGCTCTTGTTCGTGGAGTGTCTGGAATACGAAACGGGGAATCTTTTGTTACGAGATGCTTGTTTTTAAAGTTATTTATGAAGTGTGATGCAAGAGAGTATAGGTTTAAAGGACAGAGGAGTTGGCAGAATCTGGTTAAGAGCTAAGAGTGTGTTGCAGTTGGATGGGGTGGAGAAGTTGATCCAGCAATCAAGAAACGCATTAGCAACTAGCAACTATAGGTCTAAATAATTATCCATTACTCAGTTGGAGTTTTTTTTTTTTTTTTTTTTTTTTTTTAATTTTAAATAATAATAATAAATTAATAATGAACGCCGTTATTTTAGTTCTTTTTTTTAGCACACGGGTGCCTATTTTTTAGCCGATTTCATGCTTGACTTGACTGTATGTTATTGAAATTGGTGAATATTTTTAAAATTTAATTTAAATTAAATAAAAATTAGATGAAAATTATATTTTGTTAGAAATAATATAAATTAATAAATATAAGTAAAAAGTTAATAAATAATCATTTGAGACCAGAATAATTTGGCGGGCCTAAAATTCAATCGAGCCGCTTACGTCATAGGCCCAGCCCACAAAACACCGACTTTGAACAGAGGATATTTTTTTTGACTTTTAAACCTCTGTCGATGTCGATCGAAATGTGTTGAATGAATTACTTCTTGCTTCTATTGTAAACCTACGAAATATAAATTCCTTTAGGGTTCTTCTGTTCTTCAATTTTTTTATTATCGTTTCGTTGTAATTTGTAGTAGTAATCTGCAGCGTTAGCTCATAACAATAATAGCAAGAGAAATGGGTAAAGATGGTGCTGAAATACCCGAAGATGCCAATGAACGTGTGTATTATCCTGTTTGTTTGGATTCTTAAATTTCGACATTTTTAGGGTTTATGATTTCTATTTCTTATGTTTATTCTTTTCTGAACTTCAGATTGCCCGGGGACTCAATCGGAATCAGCTGGAAAATCTGATGCTTGTGAAGGATGCCCTAACCAGGAGGCTTGTGCTACTGCCCCCAAAGGACCCGACCCAGGTCCATTTTTTTTGTTATCCGGGTTCTGGCAAATAAATTTTCAACATGGTTTCCTGTTTATGCTTTTTTTCGTAAATGGTTGCATCTCTGTTAATTGAACAAAAGCTAACACTGTGTGTAAGATTATAATTTGTTTTTTGCTGTTACACTTAGCTTGAGTCTGGATTTTAATTCCAATCCAGGCTGTATATCGAATTGGTTTCGATGGATTTTTGTTGTTTTGCACTGTGTAAATAATGTTTGAATTCTATATGTTAAGCATGCTATGCTTCTACTTATGTGTCAATATGCAGTATGGGATACGTAAGTTATGAGTGTAAAAGTCTTGAGCTTTGACGGTTAAATTAATTGATGATGTCTATGGTGAACTGTTTCTTTACTTGAATATTGCTAGTGGCTCAAATCTCAATGTTAATCTTGAACCTGGACTCTGTGTTTTTATTTTGTTACTTGTATAAATATTTATGTTAAACGAGACTTTGTATCAATTCTTTGAGATCACTGTGGTCTGTGGTTACCCTTATATTTGACTATCTTCTCTTTTTATTTTTGGTTGATTTTAGATTTGGTCTCCATCGTCGAAAGAATGGCAACAGTAAAGCACAAAATACTGGTATTGTCAGGAAAAGGCGGAGTTGGCAAGAGTACATTCTCTGCTCAACTTTCTTTTGCCCTAGCGTCCATGGATTTTCAAGTGGGCCTACTCGATATCGATATCTGTGGACCAAGCATCCCCAAAATGCTTGGTCTAGAAGGACAGGAGATACATCAGAGCAACCTTGGATGGTCTCCTGTCTATGTCGAGTCAAACCTTGGTGTAATGTCCATCGGTTTCATGCTCCCCAATCCAGACGATGCTGTCATATGGCGGGGTCCGCGTAAGAACGGAATCATCAAGCAGTTTCTCAAGGACGTGTATTGGGGCGAACTCGACTTTCTCATAGTTGACGCGCCACCTGGCACTTCCGACGAACACATTTCCATAGTTCAATTTTTACAGGCGACTGGAATAGACGGTGCTATCATAGTCACTACACCACAGCAGGTGTCTCTTATAGACGTTCGAAAAGAAGTGAGTTTCTGCAAGAAAGTTGGGCTACCGGTTTTGGGTGTCGTCGAGAATATGAGTGGGTTTTCTCAACAATTGTCGGAGTTTAAATTCATGAATGTGTCGGCGAGTGGTGAGCAGAAAGATATGACAGAATCGGTTATTGCGTATATGAGAGAGAACGCTCCGGAAATGCTGAATTTGATTGCTTTTAGTGAGGTGTTTGATACTAGTGGTGGTGGTGGTACTAAAATGTGCAGGGATATGGAGGTTCCGTTTCTTGGGAAAGTTCCTTTGGACCCACAGCTGTGTAAAGCAGCCGAAGAAGGAAGATCTTGCTTTGTTGATGGAAAATGCAAGGTGAGTGCACCTGCTCTCAAGGCAATTATAGACAAGCTTTTGTTGACAATGCAGGTTTCAAGAATGGATGATGGAGCCTAAGTTTATTGCTCGATTTCAAGAATCGAAGTGGTGTGACAGAAAATTTTGTTTCGTAATCTTAATTTCGTCGATATACTTTCTAAGTTTTGATATTTGAACAGTGGGGAATGGTTTATTCAGAAATGTATGTGTGATCAGTTTTGTTATTGATTGTTTGATTGTTAGCTTAAGAAGAAACCAGTTACCAATAATATATTCTAGCTTTCATTTTACATATGATTGTACCTAAGACTTTCTATAGTTTGTCTGGTTCTGTTTGTTAATATACTAATAAAATCATTTTATATATTATTATTTATACAACTTTTAAAGATATAAAACGTATCATATAAAACAGAGAATTCGATTTGTTTTAGTTGCAATTTACCAAACTCCATCTTATTAGGCAACATCTTATTAGGCAATATTTGAGATCTATTGATTTTATTTGCATTAAAACATATTTATACTTCGATACGAGATTGAAAGAACAGGCATCCACACCAGCGACACGTGTCTGGATCTGTGTCTGGATCTGAACTGCTCGAGAAACACGGTCATCGTGTGAACCAAAAGGAAAACATCGATGTTTCCGTGTCTCGCTTTTTAGCCCGAAACCCCACTTCACAAATATATATACACATTCACTCTACAGGACACAAACACATTCATACTGCACATACTCCCATTTCGCACGCTGCTACTACGGGAATCGCTTTCTCGTATATTCTCTTACTCTTTCTCAACTTTCTCGTTTCAGTTATAATCATCATGGCAAAAATCAAGATTGGAATCAATGGTAATTCGTTTCTGTACTTCATCGTAGTGCAGTGGAATAGTAAATTTTTTTTTTTGGAATTTGGATGGTGAAAATGTTACGTAACGGTAAATGTTTGTCAACTTACGTATTTTTATAGATAGATTCTATGAACTTATCCATTTGTCTTGATTTTGCTTTTGCTTGGCATTTTGTCAAATAGGTTGTAGATCATAACATAAAATAATGATTATTCTGAAGTTTGAATTCTTGAGTTGATGTGCATGCGCAGGATTTGGAAGGATCGGGCGTTTGGTGGCAAGAGTAGCTCTGCAGAATGATGATGTTGAGCTTGTCGCCGTCAATGATCCGTTATTTACTGCCGATTACATGGTATTTATTCTCCCATAGCTCACTGTTTTGATTCTCATGTAGGATTCATACTGATACAATGATACTGCAACGCGTTTATGAGATCTGTGTATGCAATACCCGCTGCCTTTAAACTTTTCGAGTTGTACTTGCTTTCCATTTGATCTAATTTTTTTAAGAAAACGATTTTGGTTTTTCATTGCCATTGATTTTACACTTGGTTCATTGATTGATTGATTTGCTGTTATTTCTCATCGAGCGCGCATTTTAATTTCTATGTTTTCACTGCGAGATATAATGCAAACTTGTTCTTAATCTCAATCGAGTGTTCTTCGACAGGCATCTATGTTGAAATACGACAGTGTTCGTGGTCAATGGAAAAAAGACGAGATTAAGGTTAAGGATTCCAAGACCCTGCTCTTCGGAAACAAGCCAGTGGCTGTCTTTCGCATGAAGTACGTACTAATCTCCCTTACCCAACTCATAAGCATAAAGTATATATACGTACTCATATTTGTATTTACGTTATGGAATTTTCGATCCTACGAATAGGAACCCAGAGGAAGTCCCATGGGGCGAGGCTGGAGCCGAATACGTTATCGAGTCCACAGGGGACAAGGCTGCAGCCTATATTAAGGTTTTAAATACAACTCTCGGTTTACTTTCAAAGTTTTTTTTCCCCTTTTCGGGTTCTCATAGCAAATCAATGGTGTTTCGTAATTAGGGAGGTGCGAAGAAGGTTGTAATTTCTGCACCGAGCAATAACGCCCCGATGTTTGTTGTTGGTGTCAACGAGAAGGAATACAAGTCGGACCTTAATATTGTTTCTAATGCTAGTTGCACTACCAACTGTTTAGCCCCATTGGCTAATTGTTCTCTAGCTACTAAGTTTTTCATTGTTTATGGCATACACGAATCTCATGATTTATTACGTAACAGGTGCTTATCGACAGGTTTGGAATTGTGGAGGAGCTGTTGACAACTGTACAATCTCTCACTGATAAGTACTCGGTTTTTTTTTTTTTTTTTTTTTTAATTTCTCCAAACATGGAATAACATATCGGTCGATGCTTCTTGGTTGTAATTCAGCGACACCGAAGACTGTTGATGGTCCGTCGATGAAGGACTTGAGAGGTGCTTCGTTCAATATCATTCCTTGTAGCACCGGAGCTGCTAAGGTAGCTTCTAATTTAATTTTATACTATACCGTAAATTTCCGTTTGAACATGAATTTTCATTTCATTTATTTCAACTGGAAAAATTCCTTCTTTCATCCTTGAATCACAATTTTATGATCGAATGTGATTCGATCAGCTAATGTCTGACCTGTTTAACTGGGTCTACTCGTACAAATATTTATTGCTGCTGTTATTTGTATTATCTTCATTATCGTAATCGAGATTTGTAATTGCGCAGGCTGTCGGTAAAGTATTTCCTGCACTGAACGGTAACTTTGTGAAGGTTGTGCCTTGGTACGACAACGAATGGGGTTACAGGTAATAATAACACTTTATATGCAACGGAGGAATGCGCGATCGACTTGATAAATTCGATAATAATAATGTAAAATTTTATGCATTTGCGCAGTGACCGAGTGATCGAGTTGATCCGACACAAGGCCTCTGTTGGCTGATCTGCTTGATGAAGATGTTTTCGATAAAGATTTTATTAGATAGATAAAATTTACACCAGAATCTGTTTTTAGCTCTCCGAGTTTAGAGTTTTGTCATTATTATTATTATTATTATTATTATTATTATTATTATTATTGTTATTATTATTATTATTATTATTATTATTATTATTATTATTATTATTATTATTATTATTATTATTATTATTATTATTATTATTATTATTATTATTATTATTATTATTATTATTATTATTATTATTATTATTATTATTATTATTATTATTATTATTATTATTATTATTATTATTATTATTATTATTATTATTATTATTATTATTATTATTATTATTATTATTATTATTATTATTATTATTATTATTATTATTATTATTATTATTATTATTATTATTATTATTATTATTATTATTATTATTATTATTATTATTATTATTATTATTATTATTATTATTATTATTATTATTATTATTGATAAAAAATGTGTTGATTGTTTTTTTTTTGGGTAAATTACCAACCCCCCCTGAGGTATGGTCAAATTACAAAACCCCCCCCCTTGTTTGAATAATTACCACCCCCCCCCTCAACCTCATCAAATTTAGTGGAATCTTCGAGATTATATGGAATATTATCACTTTTGTACCCGTTTTATCCCATTCAAACTCTACATTATGAAGCAAGATGATCATAATATGTGATTTTTAGCATGTATATATTAATTTGTGGTGCATTAGAAACTGTATTTTTTACACAAAAAGAGTACAAACTAGATCACATTTCACGGAATCTAGATGACTATGTTGAATTTGGCCCCATAAAGGTGGAGGTCTAAGAAAAAATCATAGTTGAGGGGTAGATGTAATTATCCAAACAAGAGGGGGGTTTTGTAATTTGACCATACCTCAGGGGGTGTTTGTAATTTACCCTTTTTTTTTTAATTACACATCCTCTTTTATTAGATATTGATATTTATTTATACTTGTTGCTTGTTACTTTTGAAGTTTGCCGTTCAAAAGTTCAGACACATCAAAAGAGCCGTTGTTCTCTCTCTCTCTCTCTCTCTCTCTCTCTCTCTCTCTCTCTCTCTCCTGAATCTGCAGTCGACCGTTGACAAGGAAAGTGCCAATTGCACGTTCCAACGGTCGTAAGTAAAGATGAAACTAGTATAAATACAAACCTGGTCCAGCTGATTTCTTCGAATTCAGTCGACTGACTCACAATTAATATTGGGCGGGTTATCAATTACTCTATTCAATATTGATTATTGAGAGAGAGAGAGAGAGAGGTGGGCGATGGGTTCTTCTATCTTTCTAGAGAGAGAGAGAGAGAGTGCCAGGGCGGCGATGATGTTGATTTAGGGTTTTAGAGTGATTTATTGGGAAGTAAGTAACTCTGAGCTCCTGAGGCGTTACTGTAATAATTGATGGCTGTTGTCGGAGAGGAAGAAGTGGGTATTATACACCTCTGTTTTACTATTTTGATTTAACGGAAAATACTCTTTGGGGTTTCTTTATTTATTATTATTATTTCCAGTTCATCATGCTTCTTTCTTCTGTCTGATTTCATTTTTTTAATTTTCTACCTTATTAGTGTCTACATTAATACTATGAATTTCTTAATTTTGTGGACTTGGTGCATGTATGTGTTCTCTATGATGGCTGTGACTTGTTGTGTGTGCTTGATATCGAAACTATCGCGAACTGACTGTATTTATGTATTGAAATCAGCAGCGAAGATTCTCTAACGCGATCGAACAACAACGGAAACTACCAACTGGAACTCGTTGTTGAATGGCTCCCGCAGGTAGTTTTCTTCTGCTGAAACATATCTTCGTTTAACCCGAGACTGTCACATTCTAGCTTTAATTCCGGATTTTTCATTTTTCGTACCAACTTCACTGGAAAACATGTTTTGTGTGCTAGATCCTTAATATATGATTCATTAACAACATGAACTAAATTTTGTGTATTGCTGAATTAGAATTAAGCAGCCGATTATTATTACATAGGATATTTTCTTTAACACACTGAAAATACATAGGGGATATTCTTTAACGAACTTTCTTCCCACCACCGCCGCCGCTTCTTTATTTAGAATTTATTCCTTAGTACTTGGAAGAAGTCCTCCTCAAAAGAGTGAAAGCATAGATGCCCCGAATTTCTCCTTAGCCTCTTTGTCGAAAGGATCTTCTCCTAAATACATATATATATACGCCCTGCAAAGCAGTTCACTCTGAACCGTGCTCACAATCTCCCCCTTAACTGCATCATTACATACACCTCAAATCAATTAATTACGTGCTTGTTCGATAAATAATAATACATGTCCAGATGATGATTTAGTTACCTTTAGTTTGGAGTGTGTACCCTGGAAGCCTGGATATCTCAATCACAGAACCTGGTGTCAGCTTTATTTCATCTGATGCTTCCCCCATAATCCTGTAATAATTTCTCTTTACTTTTATTTTCCCATTTCTCGTATCACAAAAATAAAATAAAAAATATATAAGGTAAGTTCATATATACATACATTTTAGTGATCTGTTCATTCTTGCCACCTGTGAGCTTCTTGATAGATGCCCCAAGCCCTTCATCGAAGCTTTTCCTAACCATGCTCATTGTCAAGCTAGAGTACACAATAACCAATCGAACCATCATTCCGACATCACTGTCAATCACCACCTGATACATTTCCTTTGTCGCTTTAGTTGGTTCTTTCTCGAATTTTGTCCTTAGAAGAATATCTTTCAGCTTCTCATTTTCTGCATATATGCCTGTAATTCAATTGGTAAAGTAAACAATAACAGAAAACGTTAGAACCCCGAAACCTGAAACCGAACATGCAAACTAAAAAGTACGAGTAGTACCAAAGCCATATATCTTGATGCCAATGCCAAGCATGCTCTTCTTTCTCAGGCCAACAGCAGTCAGTTGCTTCCCATCGCGAAGCTTAACCGGAAAAGATATTCCAGTCTTGGGTTCGACTTCAACCGGAATATCCTCGTCTTTTACAGCAGCAGCAGCAGGTTCTTCTTTCTGATCAGCCTTGTCTTCTGTTGGAGCAGTTTTGTTTATGGTTTCATCAGCTTCAGTGACCTTGTCTGTTAACTCGTCGGGTGCTGTCTCGTTGATTTCGTCTTTCGTTGTTGTTGGCTTCAGAGCAACACCGGACTTGGGATCGAGCTCCAGCATTTCGGTTTTCTCTGCAACTTCATTCACTGTGGTAGGCATTTTTCTTATTACTCTGTAGTAAAATGTTTGTGTCTGTGTGATTTGTGATGTTTGCTTGTTGTGCGAGTGCTTATTTATATATAGGGGTTTGTTGTGCTGCTCTACCTTGGTATGAGCACTGTGATAAGGAAAGTTAATTGGCGCATTCAATGTGTCTTATCTTTCACATTATTTACTGTGATGTCTGATGAATCTTGAGAGAGAAGCCGTCATTTAATGATCAATGACTGTATGATTTATGAAGAAGAATTCCCAGATTTGTTGATAAGGTGTGAAAATCGAGTTGTTTTTTGCTTCATATATTTTCTTGTAAAATTAATGTGAAATGCTTTTTTGGGATTAGAACTTTGCTATTTCCAGTTCATATCCAAAAGTATTTCTCTCACTATAACCCTTTTTTTCCCACCCACTCCCCCGAAAACCAAAATAGTTAAAATAAAATTTAAAAAATTCAAAAAATTCGAATTCAAGCAAAATCAAGTTAAATTCATCAAATTTTGAGGTATTTTCAACACTTAAACATTTTTTTGTACATTGAGTTTGGTTGTAATTTCATGTTAAATAGCCCTAAAATTGCGCTCAGTGAACGCCCAAATCGAGTGGCCACCAGCACCGCCCAGTTTTGGGCGTCCGGTTCGGCCATGGCGGTTTGGGCGTTTGATTTGGGGTGTTCAGTAATTTTTTTTTCATTCAGTTTTACTTATTTGAATATCTCTTATAATATTTGCAGGATATCTAATTGGGTTAAAAAACTGAAGTTGAGCAAAGGGAAAGAGCCTATAATTCGTCTCCCTACGAATTCGGTGGAGAGACTACTGCACAACGAGAGGGGCAGAATAAATAATTGAAAAATTACTAGTTCTACATAGCGTGGTGAATGGACAGTGGATTTTAAATAACTACGTACACCTGCCTCCGCCGCCGAGGTAGATGCACATATGGATCCGCAGGAAGACGAGGACGCAGACTACTTTGACTAGAACTGCTATTACTTCCGGTGGTTCTACTCCTAAGATTCATTTTCGAACTTGGCGGTTGACTAGTCGGGCGGGCACCCGGTGGATCTGAGTTGACTCCGAGTTTCGGAGCACGCGCCTACGACATCTGAGAGGGAAATGTAACACGTTGCGATCACACGACAAATCTACTTGGTCCCCCCACCACAATCGATGTTTGTTTTGTTTTACTACTAGAGAGTACGGACTTGTATCACCTGCGTGATTGTTCTCTCCCTCAGCACAATAATCCACTGATAGAGGCTTTTATTGAGAGGTGGCAGCCAGACACCAACACTTTTCATATGTAGTTCAGAGAGGTGACAATTGCTCTCCACGATGTGCATTACATAATGCATTTGCGAGTTAGTGGACT